TTCAGGTCCCTCTTCCTGGAGCTCGTCTCCCCACCTTGTCTTGTTGCCAAGTCCCTCCCCTCATCAGCATCCAGGTCTGTCCCCAGAGAGGCTGTCCTGAGAAACCTTCTAGCCACTACTATAGGCATAGCTTCCCTGTCCTGACCGCCCACTCCCAAAAAACCCACATGGAGACTTAATATAAATTATAAACATTTGGCAGATAGCTCAGGCTTGCTACTAGCTTCCTGTTACATTTATGCTAACACATATTTCTTATCTAGGCTTTGCCCATGGCTTGGTACCTTTTCTCAATACAGCATGCCCACTTGCTCTCTCTGGGTCTGCTGGCAGCTTCTGACTCTGCCCTCTTTCTTCCCAGTCCTTAGTCTGGTTGTTCCGCCTCTGCTTCCTGCCTGGCTACCAGCCAATCAGCTTTGTATTAACAAGGACAGTAACACATTTTCACAGTGTCCAGGATTGTTTCACAGCACACTACCCTCTCTGGGCTGCTGGCGTCATGCCTCCCGCCCTCTCTGTGGTTAGTTTGCCTGTTCACCTTGGCCACTTTACTCCTGGGAGAGTCTGCACCGAGCCCAGGACAGTGCTGAGTGATCCTAACACATCCTCCAGAACATTCCCTGAAGCGTGACTTTTTCTCACTGCTCCCTTGAAGGAAGTGAACAGCTCAGGGAGCTGAACCTGGTCACGGAGAGCCCTAGCCCTGGGCCAAGTGACCTTCAGTCACCTGTAAGGTCAGGAGTCCTAAGTCTTGCCTTTCTGCTTCCAGACCCAGAGCTGGTACCAGAAGCCAGGGAGCCTTGGCAGGTTGCCACCCTAATTGAGCAGGCGGTAATTTGCTCTGTCAGCCTGCAGTCACATCTCGCCACAGGAGGTTTCTAGGAAGAGCTGGGAATCCACATGTGTCTTTTGTTTTTTTAAGGTTTATTTTTATTTTTCATGTATATGAGTGTTTTGCCTGCCTGTATGTATGCACACTACATGCGTGCCTGGTGCCCATGGAGGTCAGAAGAAGTCGCTGGATCCCCTGGAACTGGAGTTACAGACAGCTAAAAGCCAACATGTGCGTTCTAGGGCTGGAGAGATGACACAGGGGTTAAGAGCACTGACTGCTCTTCTAGAGGATCCCGGTTCAATTCCCAGCACCCACATGGCCGTTCACAACTGTTTGTAACTCTAGTTCCAGGGATCTAACACCCTCACACAGACATACACACAGGCAAAACACCAACTCACATTTTTTTTTTAATTTTTTAAATGTGGAACCAAACTCGGCTCCCCTACTAGCAAGTGTTCTTAACCGCCGAGCCATCATCCCAACCCCCCCACCACGTGTATCTGTAAGGACAGACGGGAAGGAAGGCACTATGGCCAGACAAGGGTGAGCATCTGCAAGAGGAGCTGCCTCGCTCCCCCACGACTGCTAGGATGGGGGAGATGAGAGCTGGGTGGATTAAAACATGGCCCAAGTCAGGTATTGAAATGTAGGTATCAGTGGGGCACAGACCTTCCTGCCTCTGCCAGCCCCTGGCGGCTGCAGTCACCCTCACTCTTCCTTGGCTTTTAGACGTGCCATCATGGCTCTGTCTTCATGTTGTCTCCCCCGTGTGTCTCCGTAGAAAGGCTTTGGGACCTGTGATAGGTAGTTTTACAGCAACTTGACACAAGCTAAAGTCATCTGAGGAGAAGGAACCTCAATTAAGAAAATTAAGAAGTGCTGGGCTTAATTGAAGGCGTGCACCACCAGCGCCCAGCCGGAAGATCCTGCTTTCAAATGCAGTCTGCTTCACAGGTGCTCAGGATGTCCTTGCATCAAAGGCAGAATCCACACCTTTAGGCTACAGAACACCACGGAGCATCCTTCTATGTCGATGCCTTGGGACTCAATGAAACTTGAACGTAAATATTAACATGAAAGATAAACACCGTGTGACCAAGCAAGCCGCTTGGCCTCTCGGTGTCCTAACTTCCTTCTTTCAAAGCAGAACTATAGTCACAGCCTCAGGGAGCTGTCCTGAGCATCTGTAAGGCTATAAAGTAACCATAGCTCCAGGCCTGGCTCCTGCAGGAAAGCTGATGTCCATCCCCACCTCAAAAGGACCTTCTTCACCTCCGGAACCTACACTGCCCACCAGACCCCAAATCTCCCACTTGGAAATGCAGCTTAACACCATACAGACAAGAAGCAGATGCCAAAGGAAGGGAGGTAGAAAGACCAGGGGGCCATTCTGGAAGAACCAAGCCAGGAATGGGAACTGGGAGCCAGCTGGCAAGCAGGAAATCCCACAGCTCTGAGCTGCCCGTGGCCTGTGTCCATGCTGGCCTGCCTCTCCTGGCAGCTGCCACCACAGAGGAGCTGGGTGATCATCTCAGGTGCCAGAAACCAGAGACCCATATCCCTATGGGTCCCTGACCTCGTCAGCCCCAGGTTTCACTGCAAGGCCACAGTGGCAAGAAATGGGAGGGAGGACCAAGACCCCACATCTGTGCCAAGTGCCTACCCGGAAACCAGCTCACCATGAAGCAGCCCCCGCCCTTGGTCTGGCTGCAGAAATCCTGGCACAGCTTCTAAAGGCATGCGTTCGCTTGCGTAGATGCCCAAAAGATTTACCCCTAAGCAGCTCCCCTGATGGGGCGAGGCAGGGCCAGAGTCCTGCTCCGCACCGACCCTCAGAATGTTGACCTTTTAGCACCCAAGCAATGAGGCTGAGGGTGAAAGAGCACCCAGTGGATCGTCAGGGCCAGTGCCGTCACCTGAACTGAAGCAATGACGGAGAAGCTGACCCTGCCAGCATCTCTCTGCAGGCTGGTGTCCAGCAGCTACCTCAGGCCCTCAGTGTTCTCAGGAGCACCAGAGACGTCTCTTGGTTGGTTGGTCTAATGTTGACAGGTAGCCAGGCCTGTAATGCTGTGGCACAGTGGGAACACCAAGGTGACCACCAAGGCAGAGACTCAGGCAGCAGCAGGGACAAAGGCCAGAGGCTTTGGAGGAAGGTGACCTGGAGGGTGAGGTAATCACCCAGTTTAGATGTGCTGCCCCCACACATGCAATTCACTTACGTAAAGCACAGTCACTGGCTGTAATGACACACCCCTGTAATCCCAGCTACTGAGGCAGGAGGATGGCAAATTCAAGGCCTGCATAGGCATCTTAGGGAAATGTTGTCTCAAAATATAATTGGAAAGAAAATGGTTAGGGTAAAGCCAATGGCAGGGTACTTCCACAGCTCCCAGAGGCCCTGGGTTTGATCTCCAGCACCAGGAATTACTTAAATCCTAGCATTATATATAGTTCAACAGTTTTTGTGTGTTCATAGGCTTGCGAGAAAAAAGTGACCACAAGCCAACTGGTAAGATGGCTCAGCAGGTAGAGGGACCTGCCACATAAGCCTGGCAACCTGGGTTCAAGTCTCAAAACCCACATGAAGATGGACAGGAAGAGCAGATGCCACAAAGGTTGTCCCCCGACCTCCACTCATACACCTACGTGCACACAAGCAATGACGATGGTGTAAAATCAAAGTCTGGAATATTTTCATCACATCCCCCCCCCCCACCGCCCTCCATCACCGCCAAGAAACTACTGTATCCTCTGTCACTTCCTACTCCCCTCACACCCTGGTAACCACTAACACAACAGGGTTTTCCCTGTTCTTGGCATCTTGTGCAAGTGAAGTCAGGCTGTGACCTTTTGCAATCTGCTTCTTTCACTTAGCAGCGTGGGCTTCATCCGTGTTGCAGCATGTGGGGGTTCATCCATGTTGTAGCATGTGGGGGTTCATCCATGTTGCAGCATGTGGGGGTCCATCCGTGTTGTAGCATGTGGGGGTTCATCCATGTTGCAGCATGTGGGGGCTCATCCATGTTGCAGCATGTGGGGGCTCATCCATGTTGTAGCATTGTCAAAACTTTTTTTTATGGCTGAATAGTATTCCGTTGTGCGATGAACTGCGTGTTGTTCAGCCGTTTGTCAGTTGCTAGGCATTTGGGTTGTTGCCATCTTTTGACTATGCTGAAAAATGTCACTGTGGACATTTGTGTTCAAGCTCTTGTGGTTTCACATGATTTGCATTCTCTGGGAACATACTTAGGAGTGGGTCCCCAGTTCTGTGGCGACTCTGCCTCTTCCGACCTCACTCATTAGTGTGGCTGTTCATGGCACACCTGTGGTCGAGAGTGACCCTAGAGGAGCAGTGAGCCCCCCCCCCTTGTGAGATGCCCTGTTAGCCAGCACAGGGAAATACATAAAAAGAAAAGTCAGGAGGTCAAGGGCTTCTGCTAGACCCACGTGTGTAACCCAGATCTCCTGCTTAAGCACCCCCTGGCTGGAGAGGTGGCTCAGCAGTGTAGAAGTGTGCAGAGGACTGGAATCTGATTCTCAGCACCCACATCAGGTGGCTCACAACCCCCTGTAACTCCAACTCTGGGTGCCCCACCCTCTACTGGCCTCTGTAGGCACCCACCCCCCCCCACACACACACACATGCACATACCCACATAGACACACGTGCATAACCATAATTAAAACTAAAAATGAGGCATTTTTAAAAACCGTCTCTGGGGACCACTCCAGAGCCACTGATCCAGGAGGTCCGGGCTCAGAACTCTGTGTGTATAACAGGCTCCCCGAGTTCCTGACGACAAGATCTTGGTGGTTCGGTGCTGGACAGACTGCTCTGTGCCAAACACGCCCCATGCGGTACTCAAAGTTCTAAGGAATAAAAGGTGTGGTGTTAAAAGATTCCATGAGCTGTTAGCCAGAGTTAACTTCCATGTCTCTATTTGGGCTCAGGCTCTGCATCTTCAGGGGAGGCTACAATGCTCGCCTCCTGCAGCAGGGAGGCGAGCGGATGCTTTGCCTTCTGCAACCTTCAGCAGCCGCATGCTCCTTAAAAGGCCAGGGTCGTCTTCTGTGAGTTCCAGGGTCCAGGCTGCAGAAGGAATTTAACCGCCCTTCTCCCAGCCCTCCTTCCACCCAGTTTGCTTGGAAAGAGCCTCAGGCTATGTGGAGCGCAGGGCCTCAGGCCAGCAAACCCCTGCTGCCTAAGTGCGCTGCTGGCAGGAGGAACAGAGCTTGGCCCGCGCTGGTTTCTGTAGGCAGTGCCTGTGTGACCTTCCAGAACATCCTTGATAAAGGTACCAACTCTATCCTCCCAGGTCCAGTTCTACCCCGGGGGACTGGATCCTCTCTTTGCCTGAGGTTTGAGCTCAAGGAGACTTGAGGTTTTGCTGGACTTGGGGTGGGCGGGCACACTATAGGGTCTGTGGCTGGCTTCCACCATGGGAAGCCAGAGTTTCTGTGACAAGATCTTTGGAGTGCATTGTATTTGTTCAGTTGTTTGTTTGCTTGCTTGTTGGTTTTGACCCTGAGCCATTAACCAGGCTCAGGCTCTGCATGCTTTGCTTGCCAAGCTTGACCTAGAACAGTGGTGAAGTCTGAGAGGCCGCCCAGTGAGCATAGCTGTCATTCTTATCGGCTGTACCCAGAGGCAGAGCACAAGTTTGGAGGGGGCTCAGCCGATAAAGCACCTGTCACATGAGATGGGGGACCTGAGTTCAGACCCCCAGAAGCCACATACAAAGTCAGGCACGGCAGCGTGAGCCCCGGTGCTTGGGGAAGGGAGTCAAAGACAAGGGGATCCCTGAGACTTGGTGGCCAGCCAGCCTAGCCAAGCCAGTGAGCTCCAGGTTCAGGGAGAGACCTTGCTTATGTTGAGGATGGGTATATGAAGGCAGGGCTCTAGGCCCCTCATTCACTTGTCGGTTCCAAAAGCACATACTGGTGAGATAAGTCTTGCTGTGCGTCTTGGTCCCGTTGTCCTTATGTCCAAGTGGAAGCTTTCCCTCCCCTTCCCTGAGCAGATAGAGATAAACACCTACTCCAGGGACCGCCCCACTCCTCCGACACACACCTGAGCCAATGTTGCTTACCCAGGCTTGGGGCTGCAGGTCAGCCTGGAGCAGCCAGTGCCAGCTCCCTCCACCCCCACCCCCCCAGGGACCAGCAAGGCAGGCGGCTGTGCATCCTGCATCATAAATAATGACTCTTCGGCACCGCCTGCGCCTCTGACAGGGCACTCACTGGCTCTCGGCAGGAGCCTCTGACACCCCATGTGCAGAGCCAGGATCCAGGCAGGAGAAGCAGCTGCTCTCCCTGAGACCCCTCTGAGAATGCAGTCGCGGCAGCCCTGCTCAACCCCGGGATCCCACCCCAAGGAATGCACCCAGCAGCGAGGTCATGAAGACGGGAGTCCACTCCTGTTGGAGGAAGGCGACTGCGCCCATCAGTCCTCAGGCCTTTGCAGCCCACTCTTGGAGACTGCCAGGGACGTGAAGCAGGCAGAACCAGAGCAGGGGAAGCCAAGTGGGGACGGAGGAGATGTGAGAGGAGAATGGACAAGGCTCCTCCCTGCTGGACCTCCAGCCCCCCCCCCATCTTTGACTCCTCTCAGATAAGAGCTTGTCTAGCGTCGTCTGGAAATTTGATGCCATCCGCTCGGCTGCTCAGGCAGGTCCTCTCTTGCCCTCAGAAATCCTTTCTCTGAGAGAACACCCCGCCGCTTCTTCACCTTCTGGGATAAAGTCTCATCAGAGGCAGGGAAGGGCTCCTAAGGAGCAGGTGACTTCTGAATCCGGCAGGAGCTGAACCGGGCCTCACCATGCAGGTGTCCTTCGTGTGCTCAGAGCACAGCCTGAAGACCCGCGGTCCTGAAGAACGCCTGGGTCGCTCGGCAGCCAGCAGCCCCAGCCCAGGCACCCGTGGACGATTCCGTGCTGTGGCCATGGTAGCCCGGAGCCTGGGACAGCTGTCAGTACAGAGCTCCCAAAACAGCAACGACACCAACGTGAAGCAGCCAGGGATGAAATATAGGTAGGCAGAGCAGCCCATTCTGTGGGGTGGGGACCGGCTTTCCCGCCTCCCTGCAGATCCGTCTCTGGAGTCCTGGGCAGCCCGTGCCGAGGGCCTCTTAGCACCTGGTAGACCTGCTAAAGAATAGGCTGAGACTTGGTTAACTCCAAGTCTGTTCTCCTGGGCCACAGGGGGTCGGGGGTATATAGTCACCATCTTCCTTCACTGTTTTTTATCTCTTTTATAGGCTCAGCTCCTAAAGTAAATAACCTCATGGGACTTTACTGTACTTTACTGTTTGACCTCAGCCATGCCCCCCCACACACACCACCTCCTACTTCCTCTAAGATCACAGGCCCAGAAGATGCTGGGTCCTTCTCACTCCTGTGTAAGACTCAGAGCCCAAGGAGCTGAGCAAGTTGGCACCTAAAGAGTGGCTCTGGGGAAAAGGGGATGGGGCCTCTCTCCATGGAGTCTCCAGGGAAAGGGATCTTCCCTGGGTTTGTGCAGGCTGAAAGGGTCAAGGGAGCACTCTGGAGCCCAGACAGCCTCTTGGGAAAAGCTTCTTAAAACTGGAGTTGGAACAGTTGCTTCCCAGTGACAGACCAAACACAGGTGGTCATCACTGACTGCAGGAGGGTCCCCTAAGTTCCCAGCTGGTATCACAATGAGCTTAAAGCTCCCCAGGACCAACACTCAGAAGGTAGACCAGATGTACCTATGCGAAGAGGCCACATCGTGGCAAGCGCTGGCATGAGATGAGGGTCCTGCATCTTTTTCCATCCTCTAAGCTTGGTGGGGACAATTGGAATGGAATTCCCTGTTCTAGATTCTCTGTGGTTTGTATCTTGGTTTTGGTAGCCATTAAAAGCTAGGGCTAAATAGATGTGTGTGTGTGTATGCATGTATGTACAGGTGTATGTATGCATCTATGTGCATATGCACGAATTTCTGCACGTATTTGTTTGGATTCTTGTTACCTGATGTGACTTTGAAGTCAATCTGAGATTCGCCAGGACTAAACACTAGTGTCACTGTGTCACGCACAGAGAGCTCCACGTGATGGGGGAAGTGGACCTCAAAGAAGCCCAGGTGCTCCCAGTGATCATGTGTGTGCATATGTGTGTCCGTGTGTGTCTGTGTTTGTGTCCGTGTGTGGTGTGTGTGTACATGTGTGCCTGTATGTCTGTGTGCATGTGTCTGTGTGTATACCCATGTGTGTCTACGTGCATATATACCTATATTTGTAGCTTCGTACTTGTGTCTCTGTGCATGTGTTGTCCTTGCGTGTGTCCATGTATGCATACATACACTGAAGTCAGGGAGGGTGAGACCCAGCAGTAAAAGGCTTTCAATCTGGACTCCTGAGTTCAAATTCCAGCCCCAGCTCTTCTTAGACGCAGGGCCCCATCTGTCTGATGGCAGAGCACAGCCTCCCCCCACGGCAGGACCTGGTTGTGTGTTCTTGATGTCATCTGGAAGGAGGGGGACCATACTCCTGTAAAAGATGTGCAGCCTAGGGGCTGAAAGAAAGGGTATCTAGCTCATGACCCACAAGTCCCTTTAAGGGGTCTCTCTGCTTTCATGCCTTGTGGGCATCAGCCTCACAAGTGACCACATAATGACTGCCCGGGGCCACAGCTAACATTTGGTTAAGGCTGTGGGAACCCAGGGTGGGCCTGATCCTGGTGCCTCCACCTCCCCTTCCCTCCAGACACCCCAGGTGTACTTGTCCATTGAAGCTTCACGGCCCACAGGGTTGGAGAGAGGCAGAGGTCTCCCGAACCAAGGACACAGCTTTTGCCTTGCTTGTGGAGGTGAGAGGAGCATTCTGTCCCGAGGGTCTGATCTCTGACGGGTACTGCTCATGTCCAAATGGCGCTAACATTGCCGTCCCTCAGTTGACACTCCTTGGGACCCTATTCTAGTCAGCAGTTGAAGACAAGAAGACCCATGCCTGCCCTTGGGTCTGGAGTCTGGATACAAGGAAGACCTATGCATAACTGGTACCTCACACCCAGCACGGGGGCCAACACCAGAATCCCTGTCCCTTACACTCCCTAGCCATAGTGAGGTAGAATGGCCTTGCCTTTACCTGAGCCAGCCTTTGTCCTCCCCCCAGGTGGCTAACATGAAAGGCCCAGAACTCTTTTTAAAGACTGTTTCCTGGGGCCCTGCCACTCTGAAGCCTGAGGCACAGCCATTGGGACAGGAGTCTGCTGGCCAGGAATCTGCCTTGCCTCTGGCCAAGGTGATGCTGAGAGGCCTTCAGAGGCTTCTTCCCAGGCCTCAGGAGGGAGACGGCAAGCCGGTGAGAAAGGCTTAGGGACTTTGCCCAGTGACTTTATAATCATATCAAGTTTTAATTGAAGAAGGGAAACGTGTAGATTATTCTTCCATCCTGAAGTTGGGGTGACAGCATGGTGGCTGCCGCCGTGCAGGCCTGGCTCTGTGATGCTCCCTGCCCTCTCTAGGGAGCCTTTCCCATATAGCTTTTAGCCTGGAGGTGACTGTCCCCTCAGAGATGAAGACAAGAAGGCCCACGCCTGCCCTTGGGCATCAGGCCTGGCAGCAGAGGGCAGGACTAATACCATCATTTAACAAAAGAAGTTGAGCAGGGCAATTACAGCAGGGAGCGGTGGCCTGGTTTTGCTAAAGTGTCCCTAAGGACGGTAGATGAGGACACCACCCGGAGCCGCACCCCCTGACCCACACCCAGGCGCAGGAGAAGAGAGAGGCCTTTTAGGAAGTTCGTCTGTTTCTTGACCAGACTTAAGAGTGCATGGCTTCTCGATGTGCTACCCCAAACTGGCAGGCGACGGGCACCTGCTCTTCAGCCACAGGCACAGGTGGGCGCAGCCTCGTGTTTTGAGTCTTCACCTGCCTGCTTCTTTAAGCTGCTCTCTCTCCCAGAAGGTGTGGTGTGTTCCAGCGTGTAAGGACCTAGGTTCGAGTCTCAGCTCCAGCACTACACTGATAAAAGTTTTTGGAGGGTGACAGACAAGAACTTGCCTCCTGACCTGTTCTGGTCAGAAAGTTGCTGCCTACGGTCACGTGTGAAGACGGCTCCAGGCTGCCTTCTCAACACCTGGCTCTATCCAGACCAGGTACCCAGGAGGGCCCAGGGTTCTGCAAACCCTGAAATGTTTCCAACAGGTCCCTAAGTGTGTTTGTGACCTTATTCCCAGGGAAGAGATCGGTAGTCTCTATGCACTTGTCAAAGTGTTATGTGACCCCACGGCCTCAGTGCTGGCTGGCTTTTTATCGGGGTGACACAGATCAGGGTCATCTGGGAAGAAGGAGCCTCAGCTGAGAAAATGCTCCCATCAGTGGCCTGTGGGCATGCTGCAGTGCATTCTCTTGATTAATGGTTGATGTGGGAGGACCCCTCTCACTGTGGGCAGTGCCGCTTCTGGGTGGGTGGTCCTGGGTTATGTAAGAAGCAGGCTAAAAAAGCCAGTAAGCAGTGTTCCTCCATGGCTTCTGCTTGAGTTCCTGCCTTGGCTTCTCTCAGTGGTCGGTAACCAGGAATAAGTAAGCCCAAAAAAAAAAAAAAACATCCTTTTCAAGTTGCTTTTTGTCATGGTTTTTATCAGCAATCAATCTAACTGTGGCAGCTGTCAAACCTTGCGTCTCCATGATCAGTGTGCCCCCTTCTGGGCACTTTGGTCACATTCCACTACAGTTCCTTTCTGTCCAGATCTGGCCCTGCAGAATCTAGATGTGATACAACCCTGCCTTTCAGGCTAGCTCCAGATGCCCGGGTCTAGTTTTTGTTTCTGTTTTTGGAAACAGGATTTCTCTGTTGCTCTGGAGCCTGTCCTGGAACTAGCTCTTGTAGACCAGGCTGACCTTGAACTCACAGAGATCCACCTGCTTCTGCCTCCCAAGTGCTGGGATTAAAGGCATGCCCACCACAGCCCGGCTTCATTTCTCTTTTTAATGCATAAATATTACTATCACTTAAGTTTGGGAGGTTTGTTGTTTTGGATTTTTATTTGTTTTTTTGTTTTTGTTGTTGAGACAGGATCTTGCTATGCAGCCCAGGATGGCCTCAAACTCTCAGCAATCCCCCATCTTCAGACCTCCAAATACTGGGACCAGGCCAGGCATAGTGGCACATACCTTTAATCCCAGGACTTGGGAGTCAGAGGTGAAATCAGAGACAGATTTATCTCTGTGGGTTTGAGGCCAGCCTGGTCCACATGGTGATTTCCAAGACAGCCAGAGCTACATAATAGAGAAACCCCTGTCAAAAAGAAAGTGCTGGGACCATGCCACTATGGTTCATTCGAGCCTGTTTGCAGTGTGCATTGATGGTTTTGTATAAAGAGAAACATCTCATATGTCATACACTCTGTCTTGGGCAGCTGCCTCTTTGGGAAACAAAATACACGTAAGTCAATGTCCTGTGATGGCACCAGACCTGGGAATTGTGTGATCCGTTCTCACAGTAGCCAGCATCCTTGCTGGAAGTGCCCAGCTGGCCCTAGGAGTGGCTGGCCCTTGGGGAGCATGGGGACACATGGAGCGGCAGGAGCCCATGAGAGAAGCGGAGTCCAGCCCTAAAAGGGCAAGGGCCCGGGAAGAGCTATGGCACCCAGTCACTTGTCCATCTTACCGTGTGGGCAGCTCATGCCCCTGTCTCCAACACACAGGCCAGGCATGGGTGCTCATGGACCACCACCGTGTGGGTAGCTTAAGCTGGCTGCCAAGGGGAACATCCCCACTTCCTAGGCTGTCCTCTGTCTTCTGCCTTGGGCACTCATGAGACCCACCCTACAGCTAGCAGGATGTTTAAGAGCCCCTGATGTGCTGTTGCTCCTGGGGTAGGGGTCCAGGCTGGCCGGTACAAGGACAGACAGATGGCCCAGACTTGGCAGAAGTGTCTCACCCTCTACAACCTTTTAAGAACAGTAATGATGACCCCAAAACCTGTCCATCTGCTAAGGTGTGTCCTACCAGGTAGGAGCCTCAGTGGGCATGAGAGGTTATTTCATGGGCTGCCAGGCTATGACAGAGTGAGAGCCACCCTGCTAGGGAACCGCAGTGCTGCCCACACCACTGGCCTTTGGGACATCGAAGGGCAAGGGCTCAGATGAAGCAGGACGAACTGCATGTCATTGTTCTCAAGGAGGGACAAATAACCCATAATAGAGGTGGCAAATGCGCCCTCAAGAGCGAGCTTAGCTTTGGACCCTGTGGCCACTCATAGACCTGAGTCAGTCACCTCACAACCTGTCCATCACAACAACAGCCCTTGTTATTGTCATCATCTGCCCTGGAGGCAGCTCTGCAGGCCTCTGTGAGCCCCGTGTGGTCCTGGGGAACAACTGGCATGTCACCCCCATGGCCGCTTAGCAGAGGCCTCCCTCGGATAATTCTCTGTGCCTTCCAGAACTCAGAAATGACTGGGTGGAAGCAGGCAACAGGCTGGCCCTGGTGCTCAAGCCTGGCTGGCAGCATCCTTCCTGCCTGAGCCAAGGTCTGATTCAGTCTTTCTTTTTTCAGGAACCTGGGCAAATCCGGCCTCCGGGTCTCCTGCCTGGGGCTTGGTAAGTACGAGGACCCCTCATGAACAAGGATAGGGGGGCTTCAAACGAGTCGGCCCCACCCTTAACAGAGAGCTACACTGAGAGCCTACAATTCTGGGAGATTAGGTTGCCATGGCAACCAGCAGCTGGAGAAAAAAAGGAAGGGACCGAACCTTAGCCTTAGCCAGGAGAGGCCAGGAGAATTCTTTGCACACAGCCCTTCACTCCTACCCAGAAGTCAGAGCAGTCCCTGGCACTCACTGAACCAGGAAGCTTGCTTTCTGGCTTCGAAGCCTCACTTCAGAGAGACAGTTCCCAGGAAAGACCGTTTGGTCTTGCCCTATTCCTTCTGCTGGATGTCAGCTCAGTCCTCAGAACCCGCTGTTTCCCTCCTTCAAGGCAAAAACATTCTTTACCCCTCCCACCCTAACACCCACACCTAACCCTCTGCAGGCAGAGCCTGTCATCAGGGAAGCACCCTCGGTCCGCTCTCTGGGACGGCACCACACCAACACTAGAGCCCACGCTGGCCTCACACTCAGAGCGGTCCTCCTGTCTCAGCCTCCTCACCTGGCTCCGGATGGACACTTCAGAGGCCACAGCCTTCCTCGGCTTACCCAGCTCTCTGTCCTATAGAGAGACTATTGTTAGCTTTGTTTGGAGATTCACCTGGAGGCCAGGTATCCACACACACGGGATGTGCTCCACACAGACAGTGGGTGGCATGTGGCTGTGTCTGACCCGATGCCCTATGCTTTAAAGTCTGAGCACCCACGAGACTGTTCTCACCTACTGTCAAAGTATCTCACCTGAGCCTGTATGTCTCCTTCTAGGAACATGGGTGACCTTCGGGGGCCAGATCACCGATGAGGTAAGACAGGGAGCCCTCAGCCCCAAGCACACGGTTAAGTCCCCTGCATAAACTAGGGACTGTGTGTACTCATGGAAGCCACCATGGCAGCCTCTTTCTCGTTGTGTCGGGGGTTTCCTGCCCCCGTAGTCAGACAGGCTAAGGGGTGGTGGCCGAGACAGGTGCTGCACCTGGTGGCACAGCTGAGAACTGTGGGATCCTGGGAGTCCAGGGTTTTCATGGATGTGACACCTGTGCCGCAGCTCACCCCGAATCCACACGCACCCGTTAACCCGTGTGGGCTGCTGGCCCGCCGTGCTCCTGACCACATGTTCCTCTGACTACTGGGAACTGCTGTCTTCTGGGGCTTTTCTACTATTGGGACCAAGGTGACACTAAGAAAAGCAGATCTGAGTGCTGCCGTTGTCCCAGGGCCTGTCGGGACAGGGGTGCCCTTCTGCACGCACAGTGGGAGGTCAGAGAGAGAGCTCCCGGCATCTGCACCGTCTCGGCCGCTGTTTGCCCAGTTTGCTGTAGAAAGGCTCGTGTTTAAAAATTAATAAGCGAGTCCATTTGAGACCTTATTAGCTGCAGTTGCTCAGTTTTTAGGGAAAACTTGGCTTCCACGGAGATTTAAATGCAGTGTGTGGTTTCGTACTCGATTTTTTTTTATAACAATAGCTAGTCATTGAACCATTTGTCCTGTGCTCTGAGGCTGCTGAAGACTCAGGGTGAGTCGGGAGCTTCTAAGGTGATGCTGGTCCCTAGAGCTCAGAGTAGAAACTGGAGCCCTGGGACACGTGTGGTTTGTCTCAAACAAGTCGGGTCTGACTCAGCCTCATCCCCCGTTCAGGGTGGCTGCTGATAGTCGGTAGGAGGACTCTGGAGGGAGACACTAGCCACAGGGCACGGTGTCCTTGTGGACAAGCATCTCTGTCACCAACAGATTTGTGGCACTGGGAGTATTGATGGATGAATCTCAGATGTCAGCTCCAGCTGGCTTTGCCCCCCTCCGTGTCTCAGACATGGACGGGATGACAAGGATAAAGATGCTGGGGGTCACACCTTGATGACATCAACCAGGAGGAGGAGTAGATGACAGAGTTCGGGTCCTGGGAGGATGCCGCAGACAAAAACAACGTAGTAAAGGAACAAGAATTCTTGTATCAGATCCTGCAATTCATGTAGGGAAAAAAAAATCAATATGCCAAATGTTAGGGGCCCCTGGCTGTGTCGTGTGATGAGGGCAGAGTATTTGTTCTCTGCCTGTTTGGGTAAGAGCCAGTCAGGAAGCCAAGACTACTGTGGACTGCTTTCCTCCCTATCCTGAGAACTTTTGCTTAGATATATGAACCATAAAATTTACCATGTTAGGCCGGAGAGGTAGCTCAGCCATTAAAGTGTTCACCGGCAAGTTTAATCCCCAGAACTCATAAAAAAGGGGGGCATGGCAGTGTGTACTTGAAATCCCAGCGCTGGGGCAGTAGACATGGGGGGATCGCCAGCCAGACAGCCTAGCAGAATCTGCAGGACGAATGAGAGACTGAAATGAGTCAGGGTGGACAGTTGAACAGTAACCTAGGAATGACATCCATGGTTGCCCCTTAGCCTGATGCGTAAGTACATCGGGCACCCTTAGACATAATGACCATTTTAATCATTTTAGGGGTGTATTTCATTGGGTGTCTTCATGTTGCCGTGCAGGCGTGGCTTCCATTTCCAAACAGAAACTCCACACCTTCGAGCGGTAACCCTCCCAGTCCCTGCTAACCTCTAATCCACTTCCTGTCTCTGTGAGTCTGCACTCTGTCTTTGTGAGTAAAGTTTTATCGACACACAGTCACACTCATTGGTTGACACACCTGTGGCTGCTTCTGCTGCAAGGACAAAGCTGAGTCCCGGACAGGTCATCTAGCCCAAGCTGTTTGAGCAGTTAAACATCTGTCCCAGTGGGGAAAGGTTTGATGGCTCCTGCGCTGTGACATCACGACGGCCACCCACCAGTATCTGTGGAGCTGCCATACCGTCGCGAAGCCAAGAACGTTCTGGGGAGGAAGGTGGTGCTGGCTGCACAGTAAGCACACGTGCGGCAGTATTGTTGAATGGGTGACAACTGCCACTGTACTGGCATTCAGAAGGCTGGAGCAGAAAGAGCCTGGGTTTGAGGAACATCTGGACAACATAGTGAGACCCTGTTCCAGTAGAGTTATTGTCTTTAGTTTGATTTATGTGTGTTGAGTGTTTTGCCTGCATACATGAATATGCACCACAGGCAAACACATATATGAGGAGGCCAGAAGAGGGCGTCGGTCCCCTGGAACTAGAGCTACAGATGTAACCGGCATGCAGGTGCTGGGAACCAAACCTGGTCCTCTGCAAGAACAGGGGCTGCTAACCACTGAGCCATCTCCATCCCCCTCCAAAAAAAAATGTTTTAGGGTTAGTACGGGAAGTTTTTCATACAAATTTTAGTAAGAATATTTTTTGTTGTTTTTTTGAGACAGGGTTTCTCTAAGTAACAGTCTTAGCTGTGCCGGAACTCTCTTTGTAGACCAGGCTGGCCTTGAACTCACTGAGATCCACCAGCCTCTGCCTCCCAAAGTGCTGGGATTAAAGGTGTACCACTGCCTGGCAGTAGTACATTTTTAAAGACAGGCTCACAGATTCCCAGCTGTCCTTGAACTTACTACGTAACCAAGGATGACCTTGAATTTGTCCTCCTGCCTTCACCCTCCAGGGAGGCCACAGGGCCCCTACCCAGTGGGGTGCAGCATGCAGTGTCGCCCTGGGCATGGCTCGGGCTGCTTGATGAGACACATCTGGGAAAGGTCGTGGTGAAAGCAACAGAACACACCTGTGAACAAACCACACTTGGCATTGCAGGAGAACATGCCCAGAGCGAGCAGAGGTTCCTCAGGTGGGCAACTCTGGAGAAAAGGCTCGGCGGTTACATCAGGCCCCAGAGAGCAACAGTAACCGTGCATTGGACATGCTCACACTTGAGCTGCAGCAGAAAAGGCAGCAAAGCTCCCTGCAGGTTGATCTCCAGAGCCTCATCACCCTGGTCCTTCTGGCTCTCAGACCCCAGCAGCTGTGGCTCTGCATCAGACACTGAAGTAGCTGCAGGTTTTAGAAATTAGGTTTTATCACAGCCTGGCTATCTCAGATCCCCTGACGAATCAGGGAATCTAGCAGCACCAAATCCACATTCCCATGACCACCACTGGGCATGGGTCCGTTCCCTTAGCAGTGCCCTTCACTCCCAGAGTCCATCAGCATGCACACATGCTCACACACACACACACACCATGTGCACACACAAACACACGAGCATGCACACATGCATGCATGCACTCACACAGATGCCTCTTTCCTACTGGATACCAGGGAACCAGGCAGGAGGCTGGAACCATCCAGCCGCTCTGGGCTGACTGGGGACGGAGGTTTGGCCCTCTGAGAACTGCAGCGTTAGGGGCTCTTCTCTCTGCTGTATTTCAGTGGGGGCCGTTGGTCACAGGTGTGCTCCCAGCTTCCTTGATGGCCGAACCCACCACCTATTGCTGTTTGTTGTGAAACAAAGCTAACCCTTCTGGGAGCTGAAGATCTAGCTGTAACATGAAGGGCCAGGCCTGCTTGTTGTTGGGGTTTTTGTCCTGCCTGGTACTCCACAACTGTTTAGCCCCAAAGAAAATCACACATAGGTCTCCATAAATTATAAGCTGATTGGCCCATTAGCTCTAGCCTCTCACTGGCTAACTCTCACATCTTGATTAACCCATTTTTTCTGATCTATGTTAGCCATGTGGCTCAGTACCTTTTTCAGTGGAGCAGATCACATCCTGCTGCTTCAGTGGTCTGGGCAGGAGAGAGAGGAATCAATTTCCTCCTTCCCAGAATTCTCCTGTTCTCATTACATCATTTCTACTTCCTGTCTGGTTTTCCCGCCTATATTTCCTGCCTGGCCAATCAGCGTTTATTTATAACATGATTGACAGAATACAGACAATTCTCCCTCACCATCTAGCCAGCAGTGAAGTTGGTTGGATGGCCAGGATGCTACCCACGTGTCATATTAGAGAAACGCCAGCAGAGGCCACATGACCCTCAGCCCCACTAGAATGGCTGTGGGACCATCTGTGGTCAGTGTGCAGCCCTTCCACAGTAGCTGGAAGAGGTATATCCTTATACAGATAAATCCACAGCTAAATCTTAAAAAGGGGGGGGCGGGCATCCTACTACGACTGGCCACTGGTTCTCATGGCTGACATGGCAAAGTGCTGCCAATCACATATCTTCAGTCAAGACCTGGTCCCTCCAGAGGCCTGGAGGAGGGGTCTGCCCCTGTCTCTCTCGGCTCCTGGGGGCATATCTTGGCTTGCAGGCATGTTGCTGTGGTCAGTGCGCTACCTCCAGATAGCCCTCCCGCTAACATGCCAGTCACATTGGACGGCATGGCTAGCCCGCCAGGAGGCCGTGTGGCCCCATCTTAGCAAATACATTCACAAATACCCTGCTACCAGATAAGGTCCCTTCCTGAGGTTCTGGTTCATTTGAATTTTGGGGGCCCAATACAGGGGCTACATTCCATGATGGTCCCAAAAAATTCATAGCCAGCGGGTTGTCTCCCTCATCTGTCTTGCCATCTTTATCCTTTGTAAAGGGTTTGTTGCCTCCCTGTGCAATGGCACAAAGGAGAGAGGAGCCAGGAGAAACACCAAGGCCACAGGGCTGATGCTCCAGAGAGGTGGTTCTCAACCTATGGGTCGTGACCCCTCTGGGTTCCAATGATTCTTTCACAGGATCGCCTAAGACCATTGGGAAAACACAGAGATTTACATTACAATTCATAACAGTATCAAAATTACAGCTATGAAGTAGCAATGAAAATAGTTACCTGGTCAGGGATCACCACATCATAAGGAACTGTATTAAAGGGCCACAGCATCAGGAAGGTTGAGAGCCCCTGCCTAGAACCTCCCTGGAGCTGGAACGACAGAGCTGTCCCCACCAGCTCCGGTTTTGTCATTTCAGATGGCAGAGCACCTCATGACCCTGGCCTATGACAATGGCATCAACCTGTTCGATACCGCAGAGGTCTACGCTGCTGGCAAGTATGTACCTTTCTCACAGACAGAAGAGGGTGGCCCAGGACACCTTCAGAGAGCCACATCTCCAGTTCCTGTCTCTCCCTCCCAGGCACTCATGACAGTGTCTACCACTCTGTTTTCTTTTTAAAACTCCAAATGATCCTAGGAGATATTTGGATGGGGCCAGCCTCGGGACACTCAGGCACTGGCTGCTCACCAAACTCTCTGTGTGCCCTGGCACCGAGGTTAACAAGGCACAGTGCTGGGCTGCAGCCGGGATTTACTGTTGTCCCCGGCTGTGTGGGTGAGCTGGAGCCCCATGAGCCTGGCCTGCTCGTGTCTTAATGATGCAGTAGGGGCTGTGGAGCAGCCAGCCTTTCCGAGCAGGAGCGGGCAGGCGCTGGCAGACCTCGGTGCGAAGGAAGCGCTTTCCGTCTTGACAATGAACTTTCCAACTCGATTATGCAAAGGCTCAGTGCTCTTCAGCCAGAGCTGTTGGCTTCAATTTTAAAGACGGGCTGAAATCAAATCATCTGGTCTCCTACATCACATTTCCAAAAGTCAGTTTTTGTTGGTGAAATCATTCTCTGGCTCCCTCTCTGTCCTCTCTACAGCCCGCTCCTGCTTGGAGCCAGCCAAGTTCCCATCAGCTGGGCTGGCTGCAGCCCTGACCTGCTGTGTGCCATGGCCACAGGGCCAGCACCTGCTCCCTGGGCCTTGGGATCTGACCTGCTGCCTAGAGCAGGACCCATGGCACCAGGCATCAGGGAACCCAGCTGGACCACTGCCCAATCCCGACCAAGGGCCTGGGGAGCTGACAGCTGTTCCCCACCCCCTTTAGCCTCCGTCAACAGTGCTTGGGTCTTTCCTATACCACATCCCACCACCCCCTCCTCCAACCAGACAGCAGCTTCCAGTCACAGCAAGATGCTCTCTAGACAGACGAGCTGGGCAGAGCAGCCAAAGGTTGAAAAGCCTGGTGCAGATGCCCAGCCCAGAGGCATCTCCCCGTCTCCTTCCTGGCCCAGCTCCTGCCTCAGCTTTGCTGCCCAGGAGAGCAAACACAGATTGATGCCACCTCCTTCATCTCCAGATGGCCCCATCACTGAGCATTCCCCAAACTCTACTCTGTCACTGCCTTCACTTCTGTTTAACTGGACACTCAAAGCTGGCATGCCAGGACAGCCATGCCAGACACTGAGCATCCTTGGGGCCTCTCAGGAGCCACTTGCTAGAAGCCAAGGCCTTAGGCAAAAGCTTTCTGCTCTGAATGGCATTGCCTCTGGAGCCTGCTCCCCTCAGCTCTTCAGCCAGCTGCTGTAGCTCCACAGTCCAGCCCGTAGCTAAGCCAGCCTGCTCACACCGCAGAGAAACCTTAACATTAGCAGCCAATGTGACTGAGAAGCTGTGCACTATGCCTTGGGGCCAGGCCAAGCTTCTCTGACCAAGGGGCTAGCCATAGCTCCAGCAAGCAGTCAGTCAGAGCTGCCCCCTTGCTGACCAGGGGTGAACACACACATATCTTTCTGACAGTAATTTGTGTGCTTCTCGGCGACCTGCAGTATTTCTGTGCCTACATTCAGAGCTTGCAACCAAGACTGCAAGTGGGAGGCTTGGGTTAGGCGCTCAGGCAGCCTCACTATCATCTTCCTCCTCTCCTGGTCTTTTGTCTGACAAATTGGAGGACCAAGGAATGAAAGGAGGCCAGAGCTGATTGAATTTTCAGTACGTCCTGACCATAAATGAGGGGCATTCAGAATATATGCTAAACAGCTTGCAAATTAGAGCCCATTATTTCTGAGTGGATGACTCAGGCGCTTTTATAATTGGAATGTAGCGCTGGGTTTGGATCATTTTCCGTCTGTTGTTTTTGCTCAGAAACATTTTGCTACAAGCAGAAAGTTCTTAAAAGTTAATCCACACTCCTGTGCCAAGCTGGAACAGCCAGCTTGTGACCCCAGCTGGCCCCGGCTTGAAGCAGGACCCTGAGCCATTGCCAAGAACAGGCAGTGGGCTGGGCGGCTCTCTGTTGTTTAAAGAGAAGAACGAGCTGCACGCAAACACACACGCACAGTCACACATGTGTGCACACAGGCACACACGCAAACACACACGCACAGTCACGCATGTGTGCACACAGGCACATACAGGCTTTGTTGGAAGCCCCGCGCTGGCCCCAGGAAGTGCACCGTCTCTGCATACAGAGACATGTGCCGAGAACACCTGGAGCACAGCTTGCCTTTTAAACATAAATTCACCTGAACATTTTACCCACGTCCCTTGGCCGAGCATTTTCCCCGGTGTACCTGCAGCTGGCGGAGGAAGCCAGTCCTGGGGACCTTTCCTTCCCCAACAAGTGTAGAGGTGCTGCTGCCAGGACAAGGCCTTTTCATCAGAGGACCAGCAGTGCCCCGCAACCCCCACCCCTGCTGCCAGTCCTGAGCAGTTGCAGACTTCACCCCTTCTGGAATGAGCCACTGGGCCAAGGCCACATAGGCGCCTGGCATTCCAACCCCAGTGGCATTTTCACAGAGGGGACCCATGGCTCATTGTCACGGTGGGGCTGGGTTTGATTTTTCTCTTTCCGTTATGCATAGATGAAATCCCCATGTCTGCCTCTCTCTCTCTCTCTCTCTCTCTCTCTCTCTCTCTCTCTCTCTCTCTCTTGCTTTGCAGGGCTGAAGTGGTATTAGGAAACATCATTAAGAAGAAGGGATGGAGGTAATTATCTCTGCGGTCTGTCTCCAGGGCACACAAGGGAGGCTGGGGGAGGGCGGTATGCATGGCTGGAGAGGCGAATGCATCCTGGGGTTCCTGGCTGGGGTGGGCAGGCCATCTGCCTGGGGCAAGCCTGGGCTTGGCCAGCCCTGCAGTGGGAACCCGTCAGTGTTTGGGGACTGGTCTCTGTTGATTACCGCGGGGCTGGTCCGTCAGCCACTTGTGTGCTCTTTTCTTCATTTTATCATTACGTTTATTTATTTCCATGTGGTAGGTATATGCCACATTGTGCATGTTGGGGTCAAATGACAACCTGTGGCAGCTGATTCTCTTCCTCTACTGTGTGAATTCAGGGACTAACACTCAAGGCTCCTAGCTTGACAGCACACCCCCTTATTCACCGAGCCAGCTCCCCCAGCCTCTTCTCTCTCTCCCCCCTTTCCCCTTTAATAGAAAAGTTAATTCGGTACCCTGCGAGGACCAGTAAGTTAGGCAGTAACGAGAGCCCTGCCGAGGGCTGGAGATGTTGCTAGAGTACCTTCCAGGCCTGGGTTCAATTCCCAGCAGGGTGTAAATGAGGCAGAGTGGTACACAGGAAGCAGAAGAAGCAGGCACTAACGGGCATTCTCCGCCAGGTGAAACCCCGTCATGCACGCGGAAAGTACCACCTGTGGCATCCTTGGGCAACCTTGCTGAAATCTCAAGTTTCCCAGTTTCCCCTGATGGAGGGGGAGAACTCAGCCCAGAAGTGTCTTCCCCCCTGTCTGGAGGGAGTGAGCCTTCACACACAGTGGGTGCCGTGGAAGCAGTTAAGGCCAGGGTACCAGTGTTTGCCGTGTCCCCATGGTGCAAGTCCAGCTCTCTGAGGCAAAAGTGATGCTGTCCTTTGTCCCACTCCCTTCACAGAGCTTCATGGGATGAACTTCCTGTTCACAGTAGGCATTCCCAGGTAGCCTGGGCGTGACAGGGACACCACGCAGAGGGTCAAGTGTGACGGCCTTTTAGCTCTCAGCCGAACTCTATCCTCTCTGTCCAAGGACCTCAGAGATAGTCCAGCCTTCAGGAGCTCACTGTCTGCATCTGTAAAGGGACCAGTATGCGGCAGAAGACAGACTGTCTGGGTCTGTAAATCACCAATGTGGCCTGGCCAGGCCATGCTGGACCTGAGGAGTGGCAGGCTTCAGCCCAGCACCCTGCAAATCATGTCCCACAAGGATTAGAAGTTGGCGGAGCTCAAAGACAGCGGGATAGGAGTCTGTCTTAGTCACTATTCCATTGCAAGGAGGAGACACCATGATCAAGCCAAAGAAATGTCTTGATTTATAATTTCATTTATAATGATATAAAGGAAAGCATTTCATTGGAAGCTGGCTAATAGTTTTGGAGGTTTAGTACATTAGCATCACGGTGGGGAGCATGGTGGCACGCATGCAGGCAGGCAGGCACGCACGCACACACGCAGGCGTGGTGCTGAAGAAGCACCTGAGAGTTCACTTCTTGAGGGAACATCTGATCCACAAGCTGCAGGCCTCCAAGGAGAGCCTGGGCCTAATGTGGGCTTCTGAAACCTCACAGCCCAGCCCAGTGACAAATCCCCAACAAGGCCACACCCCTAACCCTTCCTAAAGAGTTCCACTAACTGGGAACCAAGCATTTAAAGGCATGAGCCTGCAGGGACCATTCTCATTCAGACACCACAGAACCCAAAGCACCCACTCAAGCAGATCCCTGACTGTCAGTCTAGGCTGAGTCCTGCCCTATATCCCAAGACCCCCAGTAAAGCTGGACCTTCCCTCCTCCTCCCTGACCTTCCTGATGGTCACTCAGAATCTCGGTGACCAGACCTCACACCACAGGGTTCCTGACACCCTCCCCCTCTTCTCTCACACGGCCCGCTTGTTTCCCCATTCAGTAATCCGAGGTAAAGCCCCTAATGGTGTGTATGGAGAGACTCACACTAGGTCATCACTCCTTTGGTATAAGCTGGCACTGCCCATGTCTGGCAGCAGAGCAGGCATTGTGAGTCCGACTTGAGGCTCTCCTGCCTCAGCGGGCCCTCGTGGGGCTGAGGCGCGCACACAGGGATGGGGAAGCCACTGTCCCCATCCCTGCAAACCTTTGCTCCTACCTTGCATCTCCACTGTTAGACCCTGATACCCTGCAGCATTGAGGTGCTTGGTTCCTGCGCCTGGCACCTGGCAAGAACTTCACAATTCAGAAACACCCATTTCACACCAGGCTCCCAGGTGTGACAGCTGTAGGACCCCTAGGTGAAGGCCGAGGGAAGACCTCAAGGGCCAGCCAAGTCCAGTAACTCCTCTCTTCTGCTCTGCAGACGGTCCAGCCTCGTCATCACCACTAAGATCTTCTGGGGAGGAAAGTAAGTGCCACAGTTTGCAATGCCCCAGGGGTAGCAGGCCACTGCAGCCCCGGTTCCTGCTGAGACACCATTGGCAAAGTCGGGTCAATGGTCACACTGTTGTCCTTGAGGAAGGAGGGGATGTTGGCCTCTGCACAGCTACCTGCCGGCTGGCACTCATTCCAGTCCGGGGACCTCACGCCCATCTGGTCCCTTCCCAAACTGCAAGCAGCTTTGGCTGAATGTCTGTTACTCAAGCCTTGTTTAATTGTCATTTTTACTTACATGGCGACATTATAAAAACTCTAGAATAAACAGAAAATTGTGACCTGTCTAAACCATCTTAAAGTCTCTGGACCACCTATCCCTCTGCCAGCTCCAGGTGTCTGGCTCTGTATTCTCTGCAGAGCTTGAGGAAGTTGTCAGTTTATCTCCTGGAGATTATAAAGCAGATTTATGGGCTAAGGATGAGGCTCAGTCAGTAGAGTGCCTGCACGAAGCCCTGTTTTTCTCCTCATAGCCTGTAAGCTACGGTGGTTCATGAGGATAATTGCAGCGCTTCAGAGGCCGAAGAATCAGAAGTTGAAGGTCATCCATGGCTTTGTAACAAATTTGAAGCTAGCCTGGGACACATGAGACCCTATCTCAAAAAAAAAAAATTAAAAATATTCGTTCTTAATTTTTAAAAATCCTTATCTGGACTTATATCTGTAACCCCAATACTTGGGAAGCTGAGGCAGGAGGATCATGACTTTGAGGTCACCCTAAGCTATGTAGGGAAAACCTGTCTCAAAAAGTATAAATGGTAAATCCAAGCTGAGCAGCAAGGTAATATTGAAGCCTAGAGCCCTGCGCCTCACTGCCACCTAGGGTCAGTGTCCAGGTACCCACCTGAGCCGTGGATCCTCATCCTGGAGCTGTTATCCGCAGGTGTCGAATGTTCTGGCCTGCGTTTTCCCAACATTGTTATCGTAAGCATTATCCCCAGCCGGCTGCAACATCTCCCACCCTGTTGGCCTGTTTTTCAGAGCGGAGACAGAGAGAGGCCTTTCGCGGAAGCACATAATTGAAGGTGAGCAGGGATTCTAGCCATGGTGTCCCCAGCCCGTGACCTCCTGGGTGAGGAGGGGCTCTCTGTAACCATGGTGTGCCCAGCCCATGACCTCCTGGGTGAGGAAAGGCTCTCTAACCATGGTGTGCCCAGCCCGTGACCCCCTGGGCGAGGAGGGGCTCTCTAACTGTGGTGTGCCCAGCCCGTGACCTCCTGGGCGAGGAGGGGCTCTCTGTGGTGTGCCCAGCCCGTGACCTCATGGGCAAGGAAGGGCTCTAACTGTGGTGTGCCCAGCCCGTGACCTCCTGGGCGAGGAAGGGCTCTCTAACTGTGGTGTGCCCAGCCCGTGACCTCCTGGGCAAGGAAGGGCTCTCTAACTGTGGTGTGCCCAGCCCGTGACCTCCTGGGCGAGGAGAGGCTCCAGCCATGCTGCCCCAGCTCATGCTCTCCTCTGAAGGATAGCTAAGGGGCATCGTAGCCTTCCCTTCAGTGACCCAGCCCAGGCCTTGACCCTGGGGAACACGGACCCTTCTTTCTGCTCCGAAAAGCGGGGAACCTGAGCTTGGGCAGAGATTGCCAGCTTTCAGCCTCGCACTGTCTGAATGATGCCGGGTGAGACACTCTGAGCATGTGTCAGACGGTCTAGAAAGTGGGGCTGTGAGAGCATACCCCCCCACACACCCAACACACACACTCGGGGGCCTTGGGAATGATGAACAATGTGGCCCAGAGTGGGGGTGTCTGGGTGTGGGCTCTTCCTCTCCAAGTCATACTTATTCTGAGCTAATATTTTTCATTAAGAAACATCATAACTGAAGGGAGGCTTGGTACCCGGCCCTCGCACCCCAGGTTCAATGTCTTCACCCTAGCTGTTTGCTCTGAGCTGCTGGGAGGTGTGTGTTGGTGATGTGTGTGTTACACACCACCCTCTTTTTGTACCCCCTCTCCTTGTGTGATGCCATGCCAAGCTTTGCTTGTTTCTGTACAGACCACAGGTCCTGGAAGTGGCCCAAGGGTCTCAGGACATTTAGCCTGTGGTTCTCCTGATGCCCCCTGGAATAGCCAGGGTGCACCCCCCACTCCCTTTAGGATGTCATCTCCTCAAGACCCTCACCTGTCCTAAAGCTCCACATGACAGGGGCCTGCCCTCTTCTGACTCTTGCCCCTGAGCCAGGCACCAACAGTGCTGACCCCTCCCGCTCTTCTCCCAGGACTGAAGGCTTCCCTGGAGCGACTGCAGCTGGACTATGTGGATGTGGTTTTCGCCAATCGCCCAGACCCCAACACGCCCATGGAAGGTAGGTCAGCCAGTTACCCCCTAGCCGGTCCATGCAGGACAAAGTGCTCAGGACAGAGGTGGCTAGGCCTCTGGGTGGGGAGGGGCAGGCCCTGGCCCTGCCAGGCTGAGCCTGGGGCCCTGATCTCATTCTGTATCCTGGCTGTGTTCAGGGCTTCTCTAGTGCGGTCTCAGCAGTTGGTATTTTGCACAGTGGCGGCTGTCGGGGACGGTTTCTTTCTTTTCATTCTGGTTCCCCTGGGAGGGCTTAGTGGTCTTTTGCTCTGGGGCGTAAGTTATTACCTGGAGGGGAGTAAGCACTCAGGGCTTTGAAGAGCCGTTTGTGTTTCTTCAGCGTTTATTTATTCCCTCGACTCCCGGTCCCTCCATCTCTCTCCCTTCCTGTCTCGGCATCTTCTCATTTATGCTTTGCTGCTTCTGGGACTGGGGGGTTAAGTTGGGCCGGTTATTTTGTCTCCATTTGCTTTTATATATATACCACATTGCTGTGTGTGTGTATATATATATATAGAGAGAGATTCTTTCTTTTTAGCAGAACTCTGTTCTGTGTGATGATTTGTGCTCTTCTGTCCCGCCCTTAATCATACCACTCCTCTGTGTTCCCACAGCGATAAACTCTGGTCTCTTTAAATCTTTCTTTTATCACCAGGGGACCCATTTAGTTCCTTCAAGTCAAGGACATTCATCATTGAAGGTACACAGTACCCTCAGCCGACTATTGACTTCTGTGTCCGAGTTGCATTTTATGAGACAGTATTTTTATTTACACGACTCTCTGCCCCCCCCATGACAAACTTCTCCATAAAATGCATAAAAGGTGGGGAAGCGCCCCCTGAGGACATCGTGCAAGCAGAGGGAAAGCAAAATGGCGTTGGAGCCCCTCGCTGCCCATCCATGCTCTCATCCATCCCTCCTTCCCCGTGTGCATGCCCCCACTCCATGCTTGTGGTGCTGTGACCTGCAGCGGCCGGCTGGCTTTCTGCCAGGGTCTCCCTTGATCTGAGGATGCTCCAGTCCCTGCCTGGGAGCCTGACCTTGGATGGTACAATGGGAAGGGTTGGAAAAGACTAGGTTTCCACAAGGGTCCTGGGACCCCAGACTGAGCAACCCCTAAAACTCATCTCTTTCCTAGTTCATGCTTGGGAAGTTCTAGCCTCCAACAGAGGCAAAGAACACCAGCCAACAAGCCGCCCTGTCTACCACAGAGGTTCCTGGTGAGCACTCTGGCCGTGTGTGGTCACTCAAGTCTGCTCACCTAGCAGCCAGGATCAAAATGGAGTGATTCTCTTCCTTGAAGAATACATATATGAGCTGGCACAGTGCTGAGGCCCAGGGCATCCTTGTACCATGCTTGGTGCCCCCCCATCAACAACTAGTCTAAGAACCCTGCCTCACAGATAGGCCTTGGTCTTCCTGGGAACCGGGCAGCATTCCACGCTGGAAGGGCTCCTGCCTGCCACCTGGTGCTGCCACCTGACCCCTCCCATGTTTTATTTGTGATGCTGCAGAGATGCTGTGGTTTGGCCGCAGCTGGGAGGAGCAGCATTAATTATTGAGGTGAAAGACAGCCGCCCCTCAGTCTCACTGTTTCTGGGTTCGCTGACATGGGGCGCAGATGCACGGTGCCCCTAAACCTGCGTCCCACATTTAGCCTGCCTCTGGCCAGACCCCCAGCTGCCTAGGTTTCCCCCACCCCTCAGAATAGCCAGTCACAGCAGGCTCCTGGCCCATCAGCCTTATTCCCAGGCTCTGCACCGTCTCCATCTCCCTCACTGCATGGGAAGAGCATCGCGCACTCTCCCTGGCTGTGATCCTCATGACCACGACCAGACAGCTCCGGGGGAGGCTGGGGGGAGCGGCCGATGTGTGCCACCCTCTCAGCTTCCCTACCTCTGGCATGTGGACCTAAGCCTTGGCTGAGAAGACTAGGGAAACCATACTGCATGGTCTCAGGTGCCTCCAAGAGTGTTTCTAAAAATCTTCACAAGGGCAGCTTGTCTAGGAGCCTGGGCTCCATGGAGTAGGACCCGGGGTCTCTAGGTCTCCCGACCTCTTCCCGATGTCAAACATGTCAGTTAAAGGCAGTGACTCACAGAAGGTCCCAGAAGGCCCAAACTCCCTTCTCTTAAGTCCCTCATCTAGGTAGGATAAAGAAGACCCCAAAGAGTCACAGTCCCTGACCTCAGAAGAGGCGGGGCGGGGCAGAGTTGCCCTGCAGGGGCAGAAGTAAGATATAACTTCCCTGGTGTTCTAGGTGAACCTACTGGGACCATTTTGCCAAAATCCCAGTGGCCTTAGCCCCAGAGATAGGATGCCCTGGAGTCCACCATGAATAGACCTTAGCCAAAGCAGTACTTAGGGACCCAGAATGAGTAAGAAGTAAGACACCCCTAAAAACAGGGCAGACAGAAGCCAACACTATGCCCCATGCAAGGAAGGTCCTGTGGACCCAATGGTGTTTTGAGGCAGGCCATCAGAACGGCTCTGCCGTTCTCTTCTCCCCTTCTCTTGCGGTCCCTCCCATTGCCTGGAATTGGGGCTGCTAGGGTGGGGCAGGGACATTCAGAAGCGAGGCGGATGTTACCCCCGTGTTTTTAGAAACACTTCTCCTCTATACCTCTACCCTGCCTTTGGCTGTTGACCTTGCAAGCATTGTATCAGACCTGTGAGAAATCCATGGAGCCATCCCTCACCCCTCCAAGACCCCGTTCCGTTTTCAGAGCCAACACATCTCTAAGAAGCTAAATGGCCAAGGGAGAAGGCCTACAAGTGGCAGGGTTTTTAAAATTAGCTCAGATTTCCCGTCTGTAATAATGGGTCTTATTGTGACATTTTCTACATGGTTATCATGTATTTCGATCACCCCATCACTCCCTTTCCCCCTCCCACTCCTGGTCATCCCTATTCTTCCCATCCGATCCCTTTCACACTTCCAGCTGGCAGATTTTTATGCCCCCCCCAGACCTGTGAATTCGATGGCATGTGTGCTGTTGGGGTGGGGAGAGTCCCGCTCTTGCTGTAGAGGATGGGGTGGGAGCATCTCAGCCATTCACTCCTTAGGATGTCATGAGTCTCAGCTTTTGTGGACCCTCGCAACTCTTTGCTGCAGACCTCGGCCCCTCCCAGAAGAGACAGTTAAACCCACCCTCCTACCCCCATTGCCCTGAGGAAGACTACAGCCTGGGCATGCCCTGTCCAAACCTTTCCACTTCTGCTTCCAGCTCCCCAAGTACAGGAACAAGAAACGCTGGTCCCAAGAGCCCCAGCCTCAAGGGCCTGCCTTTGTCCCCACGGCGCCATCTTCCCTCTCTGCGAAGCCCTCAGGACCCCGATGGGAATGGCTTTCAGTGACTAAAACTGTTTGCAAGCGTTGCTAATGTCACTGCTGTGGCCGGTCTGGTTGTCTAGCCTTTATCCACCCAGCTGGTCCACTGAGTGACCAGGATTCCCACTTCCTCATCCTACAGTCTGAGGCCCACTCTTGGGGTTCCCCTTCTCTCACCCCCTAGCCAGTCATAGGGACATCAGACTACTCACAAAGCCTTTTTCCAGGGATCCTGGCAAGCCTCGCCTGCTCAGAAAACTTGTCTTCAGGATTTCAATTCCATTTTCTTTTCTCCTGGAATCTCTGCTCCCCAACACCCACACTCGACTCTGGGAGCCAGGAAGTACACTGCTTGCAAGATGCCTTTGCAGCCTGCTCCCTCCTCCTGGCACCCCCACCTGCATCTGCAGACCGTCCCCAGGCTGGGCCTGACCCCCAGCCACCCCAACTCATGCTCTCCCTTCTCTCTCACAGAGACCGTGCGGGCCATGACCCACGTCATCAACCAGGGGATGGCCATGTACTGGGGCACATCACGCTGGAGTTCCATGGAGATCATGGTAAGATGACACCCGTGTCTCCACAGGCATGGGTTCCTTGTGGGAGGAGATCCCAAGACGTGGACACACGTGTCCGAGCATAGCAGGGTGCGGTTGACATAGGCGTGTACCTCAGCTTGCCTCACAGCGCAGTCCGTGGCCCTGGGCTCGGTTTCTGGATCTATAGGAGAAGACTGCCGGCGTGGTCCTAGGGCCTCAGTACGTGTGCTGCTTGCCATTTATTCTGGGCTTCTGGGATGTTCCGTTAGATTTAAGGGCTTCACGGGAGCTGATGCCCATTTTAGCCTCTACAGTACCTCAGTAGGTAAAGGAAGATGCTAACCCTCTGTCTCACGTGGGAAGTCAAGGACAGAGGGGTTAAATCCCATCTTAAGGTCACACTGCTTAGGTCAAGACTGATACCCAAACAGTGCAGGACGGAGCCTGGGCCGCCTTTTTAGGACAACACTCCAGGAATTGTCATCTCTTTCCATGGGAGCCATCAGGCTACAGCAGCCTATGTCCCTGTGTGTTTCTGAGGTTCCCAGGAAGACTCAGCAGGAGGTCCCTGTCCTCGAAGACAGAAGGGAATGGCCCAGATGGAGAGGCTGCTTCCATCCCACAGCCTGAGGAATCCTGACCTCCGCCTCCACTCCACATTCAGCCCTGCCTTTCCCCTGGCCCTGCCCAGTGTCCCTGCATTCCAGGCATGCAGCGCTGCTGCTGCTGTAGCTTCCGTGAGCCACGCATTACTGCTGCAAGCAGGAAGTGCAACAGGATTTTTGTTTTTTAAAATCTCAGGGGACTTCAGAAGCCCCTGGTGTAACTCAGCATTTGAGTGGATCCGTGAGCCTGGGTCAGACATCTTGCTGACCACCCAGCCAGCCCTGGGAAAGATGTCAGTGTCTTCACCCCACTCCCTAGAGGGAGAAGCTGAGTTTCAGACCAGAGTGGAAGCAGGGCCTCTCTAAATGGCAGGCATGTCCCCACCACAGGACTATCTCTGGCAGTTGTGGAACGCCTTCAGTCCAAGGCCGCAAGCTTCTGATCCCTAACTAACTTCACCAGTTAGCTGATGTAGCTGTTGCCTCCAGGAAGGCTTTTACAATCCCCAAATTCATCATAGGTCCAGGGCCTTGAGTGCCAGGCACAAGCTGCTCCTATTGGAAGGACTTCAGACACCCGTGGCTCATTGGCACCTTATGACAAATGGGGACACTGAGGCACCATGCTCCCATTCACCCCTAACCTGAGGCCTTACTACATTGTGATTCCTCGAAAAACCAGCAAGTCTTAGGATTCCAAAGCCTACCTCCTTTTCCTGGCTCCCATGGGGTCTGCCTCAGACTCTCAGGAAAGCTGGGGGTGGAGGGAGCATCAGGGCCTGGGAGGCCTCTGTGTCTTTTCCCTGTGGCCCCCCCAGGTCCCCTGACGCAGCCTTCTCCTTCTGTACCTCAGGAGGCCTACTCAGTGGCCCGGCAGTTCAACCTGATCCCGCCCATCTGTGAGCAGGCTGAGTACCACATGTTCCAGAGAGAGAAGGTGGAGGTCCAGCTGCCAGAGCTGTTCCACAAGATTGGTGGGTACCAGCCTACTCTGCCTGCCCCACTCCTCACCCCCCTCAGGGCCCCAGCTTAACCTCACCTGCTCTCTCTCTCTCAGGAGTGGGTGCCATGACCTGGTCCCCTCTGGCCTGTGGTATCGTCTCGGGAAAGTATGACAGCGGCATCCCGCCTTACTCCAGAGCCTCCCTGAAGGTGAGCCCAGCTGGGATCAGAAGGGTTCAAGTCTGTAAGGACCTCCCATCCATGGGGCAGACCTTAGATGAGCAGGCCCATGAACCTCACACACACACATGCGCGTGCGCACGCGCATACACACACACACACACATTTGCCCCTTCTGTGCTCCGACATTCAACAGTCTGGTCCACTACCACCTTAGGTTATGCTCCGGTCCCCATGATGTCCCCCACTCTACCATCACAGAGACCCTAGACAAAAGGTAGGGCACAGAGTTGTCCCCAAATCAAATTCTGTTCCCTTGCTGAACACCCAAGAAGCATAAGGGCGATCATATTTGGGAGACAAGCACCCTAGGATCCCAACTCTAGGTCTTACTCTCTCCCAAGCCTGGGTCCTAGGAGGCCCCTCAGGGCCTCTGGCCCAGGCTCTGGTCAGTCCACCATAAACAGACCTAGTCCTTCAGGATCCGGAAGGGTGTAAGTCTGGCCCAGTGCAAGCGTGAGGCCAGGTGCCAACAGAGCTGATGTTTGTGGAGAATCAGCTACCTGCATCTGGAGGTCCAGAGCCCTTCCCTTACCTGGAGCTTGTCCCTTCCCAGGGCTACCAGTGGTTGAAGGACAAGATCCTGAGTGAGGAGGGGCGGCGCCAGCAGGCCAAGCTGAAGGAACTGCAGGCCATCGCCGAGCGTCTAGGCTGCACCCTTCCCCAGCTGGCCATAGGTAATGGGCTCTGGGCACGGTGGGGGTACACCTGTGAGGGACCCCAGACAGCACCCCCTTGAAGGCCAAGGTAAGGACTCCTAGGGCAGAGTTTAGATCTTTGACTCTTTAAAAGACAGACCACCAGCCTACACCCTCAGCCAACTAGCCGGGGTCATGGGGAAAGGAAGGGATCTTTGAACACTTGGGCCACCCCTCCAGCAGAAACAGAGATCCCCAGAACCTTCTCTAGATACCCCTAGGGTAAACTCTCACGCGGTACTACTAAGCATTCTAAGAGCGCCCCGTGACCCCCGCGAGAGCTTGAGTTCCTCTGCCCAGGCGTAGCCAGGCAGGTCCTGCAGAGGGTACCTCCCTCACCTCTGGTCATGTGCCCACAGCCTGGTGCCTGAGGAACGAGGGCGTCAGCTCTGTGCTTCTGGGTGCTTCCAATGCAGAGCAGCTTATGGAGAACATTGGCGCAATACAGGTAAGAAGGGAGCCCTGGTGGTGGCTCAGGAGCATGGGGCCTACAGGAACGGCAGAGAGCCCTGCTCCTGCGGAGTTGTTCCTCACAGGAACAGATGCAAACAGTGTAAGAAGATTGTCGTGAGGCAACCACCACTGAGGGCAGAGAGGCCAGAGTTAGGCAAGGATGCCGAAATGCAGGGCAGAGAGAGACACGAAGGTTCCAGTGGGGTGGGAAGGGGGTTGTGCAGCCAATCATCAAAGAACACTTTGGGGACTAGGAGGTCAGAGGACTGGAGCCTAGGGCAGACCCTGGAGTTGCATGGCCGCAGGGACATGGGTGAGATGAAACCCTGGAGGTTGGTGACATGGAGCAGGGCAGGACCCAGCTGAGCTTTCAGGCGGCTTCTGCTCTTGGTGCGGATGGAAGCCAAGGACAGGACCAAAGACCTGATGGGACTTAATGGTGGGAGCTGCAGCTGGATTCCTGGCTGACAGGGAGATGCTGGAAAGAGCCGCCTACCTCTCCTTCAGCCCAGGCTAGCCTCTTACCCTTGCATGCAGGTCCTTCCAAAACTGTCGTCTTCCATCGTCCACGAGATCGATAGCATTCTGGGCAATAAACCCTACAGCAAAAAGGACTATAGATCCTAAGTCAGCCCCACCACCTGCTCGGACAGTTTCCGGTTCCCTCGTCGTCTCTGTTCGCTCGCTTCTGCTGTTTCAAAGCCAAATGCAGAGTGTGGTTCGTGTCCAAGGGGAAAACACTATGCCCGGACGTCACCAGGAAACGACCTCCAAAGTCACCGCCAGATGCCACCTGCCGCTTCTTCACTGGATACTGTCTGACGGGTGCCAGGAGATGGCATCGATTAGGGAGGACATTCAAAGGCTCCCGCCCCAGCCTTCCACCTCTGCTTATCCTTCAGGAAGGAACATTTGCCCCCAGCCATGGCCCTCCATGGAGATTCCAGACGTCATGGCCGAATGGAGTTCTAATCCTCAGAACAGGCAGGGCCGGCCTCTCTGCCAAGAACCCCTGCCCCCAGAGAGGGGCCCGCCACTTCCTAGCACCTCTTCAGCAGCCAGATCCTGGTGGTTAGGGCAGGGCCCCCCTCTTTCCATGGCCACCGGGCACTCTGTTCAGGGCTGGCCAGGGGTCCCACTCTTCCCAGACCTTGACCTGGCCCACATGCCCAGTGGGCCTTGGCTAGGGTTGTACCCACCTACCTGGTCCTTGGCCCTTACCCTTACCCTTGCTGGCAGGGGCAAGGATCCCAGCTGGCTTTCCCAGTGTCTTCCACCCTGCATACAGCTCCTGATCCCCACGGCAGGGAAACCCAGCAGCAGGCTTGGATGGAGCCCTCTGATGTATGCCCCTCTGTCCAGAGCTGTAGACAGGTGTGGCAGCTGGCCATGCGACCGGCAGGTCGCAGCAGACCGGGCCCATTCTCACAAGACCATGTTCCTCTCAGACCGCCCTCTGATACCTCTGCTGTGCCGGGGCCATGGGCTTGTGACTTGAGCTTTCAGTGAGGGGGGCCTCCCTGGGGTTTCTGCTGCTGCAAACTGGGGGAGGAGTCAGAACTCCAGTAACCATCCCCAGGTTGTAAGAAAAGATCCCCAGGGACCACTCCCCAAAAAAGATGGCCAGGATTACTCATTCTCTGCTGCGTCCCGCCATGCTGGCCCAGGACAGGCTGCGGAGAAGGAGGAAGGGCAGGGTGGGCAACCCCTTAGCGGTAGGAGCTAGGCAGATGGTGGTACCAGGAAGCCTGCAGGTTTGAGCAGGGCATGCTGCCTGGAGGCTCAGTCCCCATGGTCCTATGATGCTTTGGGGACAGGACCCATGTGTGCTCCCTGACTCCCTAGAAGACCCACGCCTCCTGCCCTGGACAGGAAGTGGCCAGTCCCCAGGTATAGACCTTGGAGGCACAGCACCCGGCTTCTCTTCTGCAGCTGCTATTGCAGCTCCTCCCTGTTGCTCTTTACCGTCTGTTGCCCAGCCAGAGCTGGGCAGAGGCTAGGGCAGGGTGGGGAGGATGGAGGAACGAGACAGGCAGGATGAGCAGCTCCCTCTCTCTCACACACACAACCCCCCTGCACACCCCGGGCTCTCAGACCTTCACCACTGCTCACAGCCCCAAGCCCTGAGACCTCAGAAGCAGCCCTGTGGGTGTGGGGATGGAGGCCATAGGCTCTGGCACCTCCATGCCTGAACTAGAGGAGCCTGCTTCCTGGACAGGGCCCTGCAGCGGCCCAGCAGGAAGAAGCCAGCCCCGTCCACACAGCTGACCTCAGCCCTGCTTGCTATGTGGACCAGACATTCAGGGATGCCCACAGTAGGAGCTGGTGCCGCCTGTGAGCCACACCTCAGAGCTAAGCCCCTGCTGGGTGTGTGCAAGAGACAGGAAGGCAGGCTACAGGGTGAGCCCTAGCTGCAGGTGGCCTCCTGGATGACATTTTAACAAAGTGTTTCTGGGATATTTTCTTCCTTATATTCTTTGGGGGAGTTGGGCATCACCTGCCTCCATGGAGGGATTTGGGTAGGACGGTCTTGGGAGACCGCAGAAGACACATACAGGCAGCCTATACAGGGGGAGCTGGCCCCGGGCCCTTGAAGAGTCTAAGGCCAGTTCCTTCCTCCATGGCCACACACCTCCCTTCCTCTGGCCCCAGGTGCCTGTTGGTCGGCACAGCCAGCCAGGAGGGGGCTGTTTGGGGGATCTGGCACATGGAGCCCTGCTACTGCTATCCCAGACCCAAGGTCCTGAGGCACCGCAGGACACCCGTGTGCCTGCTCTTGTCAATCATGTACATAAATAATGTGCTTCCTCCCCCCGTTTTTTAACGAGCGTGGCTCCTTGCTAATTGCACCCCACCAGGCCGACCGCAAGCGCCTCCAGCTTCCCAACAGACTCAGACCAAGGTGCAGCCCATATTTATGGAATGACAAATAAAATCCGAGCCCTTCGGTCTCCATGCTTCCGTCCTCTCATTTCCACACACACAGAGCCAGAGGGAGGGCAAAGCCACCGACCGCAGGGAGCTGAGGTCTTGGGTTTCCCACCCCTAAACGCAGCTCGACAGCTGAGGCCAAGATGGAAGGGCAGGCCCAAATACAGGGTAGAGAGATGGGATGGGTTGGTCAAAATATCCACCCTGCCTCTCCCAGATGCCATCCCTGAGGCCCATGGGAGATACGGGCACCTCTCCCCATCATACACATATCTTTCCAACACCTCCAGAGGTCCAGAGCTGATGGCTGGAAGGCTCCATGCCTTGCAAGACCAGCTGGCTCCTGTTCTCACATTGATGGGTTTGGGTCGCTGCAGTGTGTCTGAAGGTGCCAGTAGGCGGTGCCTCTTCAAGCACCCTGCCATTTGGGGTCTTCCCTCCTTCCTTGTGAGCCCTGAGCCAGGGGTGCAGATCGAAATGTAGATTTGGAAAGCGTTCTCACCTCCCCCACCACTCACCACCTCCCTCTCCTAAACCAGCAAGACTAAGAACTACGACGACTCCATCTCTTCCCAAAGGGTTTATTAAAACACAGAAACCAAAACATACACACAGAGTACAAGTGAAGATAACAGTTGGCTAGCCTGTCCAGCGCCCCCCCAGGACAGCCTTCAGAGGAGCTGGGGTATGTGCCCCTGGGACCCATTGAGACGCTCTGGCTAGCCCCAAGTGCCTACTCCTGCTTCACCAGGGTGTACTGGATGGGACAGCGGCAGAACAGATGCCAGCCTGGCCTGGGCAGGAAGAGAACTCCCTGTAGAGTCTAGCTTGACCCTGGCAGGCAGCAGGGGGCCCTCCCCCCTCTCCAGGCCAGGTAAAGGAGCTACCTCCGAGCTGGACTCTGGTCCCTGTGTGGCTATGTGGAGTTCAGGACATACACACACACCCAACAGGCCCTTTCCGGGTTATCGCACCTAAAAAAATACTTTGTTTTAAAAAAAATCTGAAACTTAAGAGGGAAAATATCCATAAACACAAGGACACCGATGACTTTGGGCTGACGCACCACAACCTGTAAACTTCCGGGTATATAAACTGGGCGGATCGGCCTCCTCCTCCATGCTGTGTTCTGTGCGGGAGTGCCTTAGGGGTGGCTGTCCACCCTCATGGACAGGCTAAGACAGCGAAGGTGAAGGGAGGGTTAGCCTGGGCCCCTAACCCCCTTTTCCTTCCTTGACACACACCAGAAGCTCTGAGCATCAACACCTGCCCACTCTGTGGGACTACAGGATTTCTGGCCCTCTAGCCCACCGTCAGCATGCCCCCTGCAGGACCTCAAGACTTAGGGGACGGTTGCAGGTGTTATACTGAGCCTCTCAACCCTGTATGGGTTTGGGGGCACCCAGAGGGTGAGGGAGGGAGCCCTGGCACACAGAAACCCTGGAGTATAGGAAATCTACAGAGGAAGCACTTCAGAGCAGGAGTGTACGAAGGGGTGCCCTCAGGTGTTGTAGGTCCGACCCAAATGCCCTGTGTCTCACCTGAGAGACACCCCACACCTTCCACAGAATCCTATAGCAGCTAGTGAGTCAGAGTGGCTGGAAATGTAATGTCACTGTGGCTCAGACAGCTTGGGTACGAGGACCCCAATTCTATCAGCACCCCTGCCCCCTCTGCCCCCATCACTCTCCGGCATGAGACAGCTGAGAGGCCTTTTTCCTCTCCCCAGCTGCCTGGGCAATCTAGCCTCCAAAACCTCCTAGGTGGCGGTCATGGGGAACACAGACCTTCCCAGCAGCAGAGGGCTCGGGTCAGGGTGGCTGTGGAGAGAAGGCCAGGGTGGGTGGGTGTAGCCTAGGAAGAGGCAGAGACAGGCAGAGCACAGACTCCTGGGAGATGTCATCAGGGGAAGGGTGAACCCTTGAGAGTCACAGGCCATACTGTTCCCCCTGTGCCTCCAGACCCCAGTGTCAGGCTCTGTCACCTGGGGCAAAGGAGGTGAGTACAGCTCCAAATGAGGCCAGCAGGGCTGACTACCTTGCCTGGTGGGATTAACACAAGAGGCACTGGGTTGGGGGACAAGCTTATGGTGGCCGCTCCCATGCAGGGGACAGCCCTTCTTAGAGAGATACACCTGGAGATCTATGGTATGCTCAGGCCTGCAGAGGTCCTGTCTGTGACCAGAGTCCCCCCCCCCCCACACCTACCCACAGTGTCCGGCCAGTCTGCTGGCCTTGAGATTTCGACAGACCAAAGCATGGCAATGCCATAGTGGAAGAAGCCGTGGGGGTCCAGCCCTCCAGGGGTTCAGAGGAGGAACTACGTTACAGATGTGCACATCTGGGCTAAGGAAAGATTGGGCACCTGCCCCGGTGTCCTTAAGACAAGCCCATGGAGACCTGCCCCCAATCTTGGTGGACCCAGAGACACTGTAACCCTCCTTTCAGGAGTCTGAACCCCTCCAATCTTCCTGCCCTCACACCCAACGTGCTTCTCCCCAGAAGCCTCTTCCTCATCTTCAGGGTATACTGAGCCCTAGAACATCTGCCTGGGAACACCAAGGCAAGGGCTTGGAAATCTCCAGGTTGAGCTAGGGTCAGCAAGAAGGTCAGATACAGGCCAAGCGCCTGGCAGGTCCACCCCACCCATACCCCAGCATGGAGCATTACGTGGTGCCACAGGCTGGGGTAGAGCCAGACAAGTTGGTATGGCAATGCTGGCATGGGAAGATGGTCCTAGCATTCCAAGGCATCCCTACAGGAAATAAGGCCAGAAGCCTTGGAGGTTCCAGCTCGGAAAGATCTAAAGAAGCCATCAGGTCCAGTACCACCTCCAGTCACAGCTCTCCACCCCCTCTGCGAACCAGCAAGGGCCATGATGGCCCCTACTTCACGCAGCAGCTTCCCTAGACAAGGCCTCTCTAGGACCAAGACAACAGAGAAGTTCAGCTTGACATCTGTGGTCCAGGATGTTGGGCACAGGAAAGCCTGTGCCCAGGTGGAGGGGGTCAAGTCTCCCAGGGCCACCCAACAAACATGACCCTCTTTCCTGGGACACCCTACCAGCTCCCACGTGCCTGCACCATGCTCCCGCAAAGAGCAAATGTCCAGAAGCCCGTCGGGCCAGCCTTTGGCCCAGGTCTGTCCTGCCTTCTGAGGCACCCTCTTCCATTTGCCACACATCGCTGGGGCCTCCAGTGTCCACTGGAAACAGATTCCAGAGCCTTTGAGATATGTGCCCGTGCCAGGAGATGAAATGTACCTGGTGGTCCCCAACCCTGGCAGGAAGGAGATAGAAAACCCCAAGCTGGGCATCACCAGGCTAAGCAGCCACTCTCCAGACCTGATCCCCCTAACGCTAGAGTCCCAAGTAGGCAGGGGGCCAGAGCAGAAGGGTCGCCACACAGGTGCAGACAGGGGCAAGGGACACACTAAGGGCTTCCAGAACGCGGGATGCTGCCTTCTCCCCAGCTGGAGTGAGTCCACAGAGCAACACCAAGGGCCTCCAGAGAACTTCCCCTTGCGTCTGGAGCCGAGTGACAGACAGGAGCGCCGTGAGTCTGAGTCTTCCACACGCCATCCAACTTTTTATCAGGACAAACACGTTCGCATCTTCGGTAGGAAAGTGCAAAAAAAAGTACGGGTAAATGGAATTTCCTCTAAGTCAGTCACTCTGGAAAAGGTGCCAGGGCCTTGCCCGGCATGGCAGAGGGTAGGATGCAGTGTGGAAGAACACATCAACTACGATGAGGTGGCACTTCTGGGCTCTTGTGCAGCCAGGCTGGGCCTTGTCCTCTGCGTGACAGAATTGCTTGCTTTCCCTTTTGTATCCCAACACGGCACCGACTCCTAAAAGGGCTGTAGCTTTTCTCTCCCGTGGGGGTTGGGCAGGTGGCCCGGCTGCAAAAGGCAAACCAGTAGGTTACACGATTGGCTGGCCAGGTCTCCAGAGGCACCAGCTGTCCACAGTGGTCACACGTATGATCACAGGGAATCCTGGAATTAAGATTCTCCAGTCACAGGCCTTTGGGCTAGATGTGAGCTGCACCCCAATTACTAGAGTCCCAGCATCCAGCAGGTTCTGGTTGGAAGCTCATCCAGGGCTTCCGGCCTTGCATCTACCTTACAGGGACAGACAGGACTTGGAGAGGCCATCACGACTGGCAACCTCTCTGAATTCCCCAACTCCATACCCAAAGCCATTAATACACTCAACCCCTCATGTACTCCATCCCCAGGTACCTCCCCTGGTCCTGAACAGAGAATAAGGGTGTAAGACAAGCAGCAACTGTCCATGGAGTCAATCACCATGCAGGGCAGGGTTCCAGGCTGGGAGCAGTGATCCCTAACACATGTCTAACACATGTGTACATAAAGATGTCCACGTGAATACACACACACATATACACAGCCATGACCAAGTCCTGGTCAGAATGTGACTCGAAGCTACCAGAAATATTAAGACTCCCAAGGTTCAGAGGCATGAGTCGAGTGTATGAACGGGACAAACCGGAGGGTGCGGGACAGTGGCGTGTGGAACAGAGGGTATGGGACAGTGGCGTGTGGAACAGCGGCGTGTGGGACAGAAGGTACGGGACAGCGGCATGAGGAACAGAAGGTACGGGACAGTGGCATGTGGAACAACGGTGTGTGGGACAGCGGCGTGTGGGACAGCGGCGTGGCCAGCAAGCCTGCTCACCTCAGCTGGAAAGGAGCGCTGCAACAGGGGGAAGTCACAAGGACGACTAGATGTCTGCCGAGAAGAGATCAGAGCATGGGCTTGCCTGGCATCCCCAGCAACGGGCAGGCTGGGCCCCGGAGGGCCGTCGCATGCATGCTGCCCGGAAGCGGGTGGGGACCTACCAGTCACATAGGGCCCCAGGGGCATCTGGCTGTAGTTGACAATCCCTCCCGGTCCAGGGCCCCGGAAGTTGGACCCAAAGCTGTTGTACATCTGAGAGGAGCCGAAAGCGCCCTGGAGGCAAGGACCAGCTTTACAGGTGACAACCAGAACATCACCCAACCCCCACCCAGGGGCACCCCCACCCCATACGACAGGAGGACTCAGGCCCATGATGCAGTGTGCAGGCCAAACCTGACCTGCTGGATGGTGGGGTCACCAGCGCGGTTGGTGAGGCGGCTCAGGATGCTGCGTTCCGACATCTGCAGACGGGCAGCCACCGGGGGGATGCGTGACAACATGGAGGGCAGGCGAGTCACATCTGCCTTCATGTCACTCAGCAGTTCCTCCAGCTGGTTCAGGACTGCGGGGCGGGAGGGCCTGAGATGGAGGGCTTGCTCTGCCCTCCACGGATGCCATACAGCAGTGGCCAGGAAGGTGCCCTTGACATACATCACAACACACACCCAAAAGTAGACACCATGGGCCATCCCTCGCCAGGCTCTTCAGATCCTGGGAAGCCTGGGATTGCCAACTGGAGAAACAGGGTTTGCAAGAAAAACTCCTTCAAGGGCCCCTCCTGGCAGAAAAGAACTCCAGACACTTGGCCTGGGATTCCCTCTCTGGGTGGCCAGCGACCCCACTGACACTAGGTCACTAGGGCCCACAAACCATAGCGGCCTGGACCAGCCCTTCACATATGAGCGAGCATGGACCAGCCCTTCACATATGAGTAAAGAGTCAGTCATACCGTTTCTACTCTGGGCTGTCCCCTGCCCACAAGGAGCCTGGGAGCCCCCAGACCAGCAGAGATCTGGAGTGAGATTCAAAGGAGACATTGGACAAATTGTCCCCCTGCTTAAATTCCAGTGCCCTTGCCCCGAGATGGAGGCACTTAAGATGCATTGCTCCAGGCACAGGACTCGCTCACCCTTGCGCAGGACAGCGACGTGAGCATTACCTCTGTGCGACCTACCCAACCTGTGCCCTCCTTGTTGGCCTTTCTGTGAAGGGCGTAAAGTGGGGGGACCTCTTCCCTGCAGGTGAAATGAGATACAGGGACAGAGCTGCACCCTTCTGGTCCCAGAGGCCTCACGCTCTGGGCATCCTGTCAGCACCTCCAGTGGAGGCTGAGCATGCTCCTTGGGCAGGATGGTGGCTCCAGGCTGCACCCAGAGGTGGGGAACGGGGCTCACTCACCCTTGTGAAGGACGGCATTGGCAGGCTTATTCCCGGCCAGCGACTCCTTAGATAGGTGCTGGTGGCTCTCAGCAAGGCACTCCACCTCTGCCAGGCGCGCATTGAGAGCCATGGCGGGGTGGTTGGGATCCTGGGTCATGTTGAGGTACGCAGCCCTCCGGAGCTGTTCCTCGATCACCAGTGCCTGCTCCAGCAGCTGGGGGGTGGGAGGGGTGTGAAGGGACAGCACTGACCCGGCCCCTTTTCCCACTGGCACCCCCAGAAGTTGAGGCTCTGGGCTGGCCTCTTCCTTCCCCCCTAGCCTGATCTACTGGCCTTAGGAACCTTTCACAAACTGAGTTCTCCGATCCCATCCCCTGGACAGTGGGGGATGGGCACATCCTGAGACATCCCCTGAGCAGTGGGGGATGCTCACACACTGGGGCCTTGCCAGCATGGGTTGACTGATTCCTTAGAGGTGAGCCTGGCGCAGGTCTAGGTGCAGGGATGGGTGGGGAGGTAACACCCCTGAAGGTCTACCTTGAACCTGCGGGCCAGAAACTTGTTCTTCATTTCCAAGTAGTTGCCCTTGTGGATCTCAGACTTAAAGGGCTCGTTGAGGATCATGTACCGCGGGTCATTCTGAATGTCCTGCCAGCGGGCATAGCCATGCCTGGGGGGTACAGTTAAGGGCAAAGCTGGCCACAGGAAAGAGGGGCTGGACAGGAGGGGTGAGGTGGAGACAACCAGGGTCCCAGCTTGCTGTCTGCGTGCACCCAGGCAGGTCACAGACTCAGCTTCAAGACAACCATGCTGGTAGCAATGACAACAGTGGCAGTAGCTGGCACTGACCGGCAGCAGGCAGGGAGGGCACTGAGGCCTCCGAGTGTTGACTCCATCCCAACACCCCAGATGGACAGATGCAAGTCCCAACCCCTGGAGCCTAAGAATGTGGCCTTCATCCAGATTTGGTCAAGAAGGGTTCAGACTAGATGTAGATGAGGGGGAGCCTAAATCCCAGTGATTGTGCGGGGGAAGTTGACTGGGGGAAGACACAGACAGACAGACAGACAGCAGAACATGACAGAGAGACACAAAGCCCGGTCAAGGAGTGTCAAGGTTATGGGCAATCATCAGAAGCTGGGAGAAGAAGGGACGGTCCTCCCTAGAGCCTGGAGGTCCCAAGGACCAGAGAGGCAGACCAGAGTCATCCCAGCTTGACTGACCAAGGATACGTCACGATGCCTGCCAGCAGCCAGTAGTCATGGCGGCGGTGCCAGATTTCATAGATTTTTCCTGAGGACACAGCGGCCCGTTCCTCATTCTGCCACAGTGTGTGCAATTCTGAAGAAAATAACCGAAATGAGCAGAATGAAACGTTTCCCCCAGCCCTGGCTAGCTCAGCACCCGCCATCACCCAGGCTCAGAGGTGCATTGCTCCAGTATTGCTAAGAGGGGCATAGCAAACTAATACCAACCATTCATACCCCAGAATAAAGTTACCATCTGCCCAGACTCCTGGGAAGTGAGACCAACAGCCCAGCCCTGTCTACTGCTCCACCTCGGTACCTGTGAAGCCCCCATCTGCAATGTTGAACATGAATTTGAATTTCCCGTTCTTGTCTTCTTTCTTCCCCTCCTCATCTTCCTCTCTGTCACCGTTTTGCTGTGTCTCCATGGGCTCCCTCTCCTCAACCTTGGAGTCATCTGGTAGGGAGCGAACAGGCCACGTTGACAGTCTCTATAGGAGGCATTACCCAAAGCCCTTTTCCTGCCACGCACTGGGAGCCCCAAAGACAAGCAGAACATATGTCTGTCCTCCGTGTGCCTGTCACACATAGGAACTTAAAAGGAAAAGGGCCAAGGACCCTCTCTTTCCACCCTGAGCAGGTTCTGGGCCCTAGCACCCCTCCCCCGCCACACCCTCAGCAAAGGGCCGAAGAGCACCATAAAGGGAGGGAGAATTCAGGTTCAGAGATGACAGACGCCCCAGGGCTCTGACCAGAGCCACAGATGTTCTGTAACCAGCACAGGAGAAGGGAGGAGGGAGGTGGGATGAGTCTGCTCCCTAGAAGAAGAGCCCTCCTGATAGGAGGAACTTGCAAGCCCAGGCTCCTGTCCACTGGCCTGGGGAGAGCACCCGGACACTGACCAGGAGGTGGATGGCAGGGAACAGGAACCAGCACCCACCTGGCCTGAAATCGCCGCTGTGACTTGGGCTTGGCTCCAGCTTGACTGGAATGGGCTCCTTGTCTGGCAGCACTTCCTCTGCAAAACAAGGGGGGGCTCGTGGGCAGAAGAGGGGCCCCCTGTTCATCAGAGGTGCTAGTCAGGGTACAACAGACAAGGCCTAGAGCACTCTCTGGGCGGGAGGGCTGGCCTCTCCCACAAAGCACCATCTTCAGCCCTGCTCCTACCAAACGTCACGTTAGACAAAATAAGTGCATGTCGTGTGTGTGTGTGTGTGTGTGTGTGTGTGTGTGTGTGTGCACGTGGAAAGGAGCACTGCACATGTGTGTGAAGGCCAGAGGTTGATGTTCAATGTCATCCTTGTGATCATCACCTCATTTCTGGAGACAGAGCCTCGTTACTCGTGGGTTCAGGGAGACTGGCCAGCAAACCCTGGGGTTACCCACATGTGCTGTATTTGGGATTTGGTTGGTTGTGGGGGGAGGGCTGGCTGGGATTGGGTTTTGTTTCTGTTCTTGTTGTTTTGTTTATTGGTGTTTTCTGCTTTTGCCTTTGCTCTGTATGGGTGACAGAAACCCTGAACCATCTCCCAACCTCTCAAAGTAAACGTTAGAGCCAAATCTATCTAGAGGGATGGTGATTATTCTAGAAGCTTCTTCAGCAGAAAAACACTAAACGCCAAAACGAATATCTGCCTAACGACACAATCTGGCATGATACTGAACCTGCAATCAGAGTGAGGTTTTGGCACAGTCTCTCAAGAAGTGATTGGTCATAGCAAATACCAATGAGGACATTAAAGCACAACCTTCGCCGTCTAATTAACAAGCTCTGCCTAATGACCTGAAGTGTATAAGAACCTCACATCCAACTGCCTTCTTCCAGTCTACACGAGGCATTTACTAACTCCAGTCCTGTTAAACCAGAAGCAAGTTTGACAGTATCCGGATAAACTCATGTTTATGAGTTGGAACCCATAATCAAAACATAACCCAAGTGCCCCAAACTCTCGGTGACAGGGTTAAAGTCTGCATATAGACACCTTGCCCTTCCCCACAGCGGGGCTAGCATCCAGGCATGGTAAACAGACTCGAGTGTGGTCCAGTGACCTCCCCGGGGCTGCAGAGGTCACATGCTGTGCTGAGAACGCCCTACCTTTCGGTGGCTGCTCGGGTGAGCCCTGGGCCTTCTCTGCCTCCTCCAACCTCTCCTCTCGAGCTCTGTCCTTGCTGTCTGAGTTCTGGTGTTTGTCTTCACCTTCTCCTCTGTCCAGCGCAGTCGGCAGGGCCTAGAAGGACAAGCTAGGGGCTGCAGGGATGCTTGGCGGGGACTATGCACTGGGCTGGAGTCTTCAACCCTAGATGTCCCTCCTTGTTCCCTGCCTGGTCCCCCTAGGCCCGGCGACTGGAAGTGGGAACCAGGAAGGCCTGGGTTCTGCCCAGCTGGGCCAGACCAAGCTCCACCCACATTTTCCACAGCCCAGCCACCAGCAGCTTTCATACCTGGATTTCCTGGGGCTTCTTTGGCTTCTGCATGCCTGACTCCTTCTCATCCATGTAGCCCAGCTGGGCTTCCATTTTGTCTGCAACATTAAGGGAAAGAGATGAGACAGGGGCATAGACAGAACAAAGGAGCAGGGCAGGGAAGGGCATGCCAGATGAGAGCAAGGCCTCACAGTGCTCCACAGTGGGAGACAAACACAGAATAGGGCTCCAGGCCTAAAACTCAGGCCCTTGTGGGACCTCGGGCCTAGTGAGGCCACCATCGCAATTGCCCTCCAGAAGCAGGGGAAGGAGGGTATGACCCAGGGCTGGGTTTCTTCTCGGGGTGAGTCCAGCAGGACCCACCAGCCAGTGGCTTTAGAAAGACAGGTTGCATGGCATGCACGGGAGTGAAATCTCAAGGCTAAAAGGAAGGAAAAGCCTCCGACAAGATGTTGTGGGGTGGTGGGACTCTCACTTTGAGGGTTACACTGAAGGCTTGGCCCACCTCCCATGACCCTAGATCTCTCCCAGGCTCGCCCTGAGGCCAAACCTGGCAGGCCCAGTGGGGCTGCTGGGAGCTGTGCAGGGCTGGCAGGCACGGGTGTGTTGGGATCCGAGGAGATAACCTCGCAGGGCTTCTTGCCCTCCGGTCCCTCGGGGACCAGATCTGGGGTGCTGTACTTCCCGTTGACATGTTCAAACTCCTGCACCTGGAGCAGTCAGAGGAGATGAAAGGACAGGAGTGACTCTCGGAGGCAGCTGCCAGGACAGTGTTGCAGGCTCAGGTGCTGCTGTGCCTAAGGCTAGCCAGGGCAGATGTGCTTTTGACCCAACTTCTGCCAGTGGCCCCCCTTCTCCCTAGAACTCACCCTTCTGGCCTCACCCTCCCCCACTTCCCCCTGGAAGGCTCCTCTAGTCTGTTCCTTTTGTCTGAGTGGCTGTGTGACCTGAACCAGGCACTTGTCCCTCGGCAGCGGACTCCCGCCCACCCCCCATCAGAGGCAGTGCTCGGGGCCACATGCCAGCCAGAAGGCTAGGAGAGGCTTACTCACCCACCTTCTTCCTAACCAGCGACATGACCCCAATACGCGTGAGCACGTGCTGCCTGGACAGGCCCTCCCGGGGTACACCGTCTGCGAAGGTCTCTGAGCCGTCGGCCCCTGGCTCACACAGGTGCCGCATGAAGAGGGACACATAGGCTCTGGGGTGGGGGGGACTGAGGCTCAGGGAGTGAGGGGAGGCTGGCAGAACCCCCAGAGGTGGAATCCTCCACCACAGCGTGCCTTGAGAGCGGGCCTCCTGGATGGCCCAACCTCACTATCCCAGAGTTTGGGCAGGAGGACTGCTGGCCAGTGTTTTCTATGAATCAGCCCTACCCGACATACCACACCCAAAGATTTGATAATCAGGCACATTCTGGACGCCTTTGACCAGGAGGTAGCAAGCACTGTTCACTAGAGGGCCCACTCCACGGGGATCAGAAGCCACACCCTCCCGGACCGCCACTCCACGGGGATCAGAAGCCACGCCCTCCTGGACCGCCACCGCACTGGGACCCTTTACCTAAATTCCTTCTCAGTCTTCCCGCGAAGGTCCCGCACCAGCCAGTGGGAGTTGAAGGCGTCCTGGGGGGGCATGCCCCAGCGCATGATGGCATTCAAAAAAGCCTTCCTCTGTCTGGCATTGAAGCCCAGAACCTGGCCAGGGTGGAGAAGGGGCGTGATCTCAGGTTAGATGGACCGAACTGGTGGCTAGGGGAGGGAAATCACGGAAAACCTGATCCCACAGGGTCTCTCTCAGCTACACCTCAGCGTGACCCCTGAGCCTGGGAAACCCCTCGGTTCCTCCGGACCCCGGGGGCTGTAAGGAGTAGGGCTGGGAGGGACCAAGGAACAGGCAGAGCCCACCTCAATGTTGCCTCCAACGCGAGCCAGAAGAGGCGGCAGGGGCTTGTCCCTGTCACTCTTCAGCTGCCTCCTAGACTGTCGCCGTCCACCTGGAGAACAACCCACCACGGACCCTCAGGCTGGTGTGGAAGGGTCCCACCAGCATACTCAAAACAGCAAGACCCTCGGGACGACCTCCCACAGCTCCCCGTGGGGCAGCGCAGCCCAGCCTCAACTGGCCGTCAGTCCCCACGGCACGATGGCAGCCCGGGTCACCCACACTAATACTCACTCTGCCCTTCGGGTCTCTCCTCAAAGTCCTCGTCCTCATCCTCAGAGCCGATGGAATACTCGGACTGATTGTCCGAGAGCTCATCCTGCCACTCTGTAGGCAGTCAGCAGAGGGTCCTTGTGCACCCCGGGCCGAGCCAAACCCCTCCCCAGCCTAGTCACAGCCACGACAATGACAATGGCCTGTAGGTGACCTCACCCGGGAATTGCCTTGCTATCTGCCGGGTTTCACAGCTGGAAAAAGACTTGTGGAGGCTCGCCCTCACTCCAACACTGAAGCCACTGGACTGATAGCCATCTTGTCCCCAAACCCACACCTGCCTGCCCTTTCCCCCAGTGCAGTATCTGCCACACACCCCACCTGCTCCAGCCAGTGTAGGAATGCCCCTGCTCACCACACGCACCCTGGTCCTCCTGGGAGGCGTCATTGTAGTTGACTTGCTTGCGGATGCGTTTGCCCTTGCCCAGGTTGCGGGCCAAGTCCTCCTGCTGCTGCTCGTAGTGGTGGCGCAGCAGCTTCTCCCAGTAGTCAGGGTCCACATTCTCCTCCTGCTTAATCACCTCCCGCTCGACCTCCTCCTGGGGATGCAGATGTGGGGGAGAGCCGGGCACACCTCACCCACCTTCACAGACCCTACTCCAGAGAGCCCTCCCTGATCTCGCCAGCCCTAGCTTGTCTTCTGCCCCTCGTCACTCCACAGCAGGTACACCCTGGCCTCCCTAGGAAACTCTGGTACCCAGAACACTGCCCTTAGGGTTCATGGTTTTATATTTGTGTTTTGTTTTGTTTTTGTTTTGCTTTGTTTTGTTGTTTTTGGTAGGTTGGTTGGTTTTGGTTTTTTGAGACAGGGTTTCTCCGTGTATCCCAGGCTGTCCTGGAACTCATTCCGTAGACCATGCCAGCCTCAAATTCAGAGATCCTCCTGCCTCTGACTCCTGGGCACTAGGGTTAAAGGCAGGCAACACCATTGCCCAGCTGGGTTCATGGTTTTATAGGGAACTATAACCAATGCCCAGGTTTGCAAGGAGGATGGCTGAAGCCAATGGGAGAGATGAGCTGTGGCGGCAATTGGGCTTTTCAAGACACAGGAGGGAGATGAGGTAGAATGTTCTAGAACAGGACAAGACAGAGGCATGGTGTGGGGCTGGAGGGTGAAGGAAGAGGCTAATGGAGCTGCAAGGGGCAGTGTGGCACTCGCTGGCCTTACCACGCCGTCCTCCTCGCGGACCACGTACTGTGCCACCTTGAAGGAGCTCAGGTATTCATTCATGTTCTGTAGCTCCGTGTCATCTGTGGCATCCTGGTTCCGATCCAGCAGCTTGGATATGGCCGCATCATCATAGTGGATCACACTGCTGTCTTCCACGTCCTTGTTGTCACCTGAGGGGTGAGCACGGGACAGCATGTGGACACAATTGTGGGTGCCCAGGTCTAACCTCAGGGTCAGCTGCCAAGATGGCCCTTCTGCTGGGGTGAAGAGGTTGGGGCCCAGGTGAGGAGGCTACACCATAACCCAAGCAGGTGTGACAGTTCCTCCCTGCCTACCCATAGCCTATCGTGGATAAGCAAACAAGGAGCTACAGGCAGCAGAGGACCCCTTCCTGTCCAGGAGTAGCCGCCTGATGAGACAAAAGGCAGTGGGTGACTCAGGTGGACCCCTACCTGGTGGGGTACTGCCATGCTTTTTCTTCGCTCCGGCTGCCAAAGATCCGCCCTTGGAGGACTGTACATCAGGGATGGGTGTGGCAGGCCTCTGACCCTGGGACATCATGCCTGAAAGGGAGAAGGGGAGGGGCACTGGACCAGGGCACTGAGGGACTGTAGGGTTGGTGGTCAACAAGCAGAGATGCAACCCTAACCCACTCTGGGGGTATCCCAGGCTGGGAGTAGAGAAGAGGACAGGAACCCTGGGTTCACACCCCTACAGAAGGGAGGCTCACCCTCCACATCGTCCTTGAAGAGCTCCTCCGTGCCAAACTTAAGGATGTCATCCAGCTCCTGCTTGGTCATCGAGCCTGACTTGGAGCCCAGGCCAGGTCGCACCACCAGGTGAGTGAGCATCATCTTGCGCTTGGCCACCTGAGTGATGCGCTCCTCCACAGAGGCCCGGGTCACGAAGCGGTAGATCATCACCTTCTTGTTCTGCCCGATGCGGTGAGCACGGCTGAAGGCCTGGAGGAGACTGCAGCTCAGCACCCAGGCTTGACTCAGGGCTCCGGGCCACCGCTGGGTGCACCAGGAAGGACCATACGGGAAGCCCGTGGTCATGCAAGGGGCAGCCTGACCACACGGGGAGGGGCGCACACTTCAGCATCCAGCAGCACTGTGGCCAACAGCCAGTTGCCTGGCATGGGGACCTAGGTGTGACTCGAGGCGTGCAAGGGCGTGTCCAGGAACAGTGTTCTGCATGCCTGATGAACTCCAATGCTGGATTACAGGAAGGCGGGCCACGTCTCACTGTGTGTCGAGTGATCACGGGACAGTAAAGCCGTGTGCTGGAAACACAGCAGCCTTGGAGGGCAGCAAGGCCTGGGAACCGGCCTGGAGGGTATGCCTGGGACGCCATTGTGTCTCTATATGACATGGCCCTGGTGTGGTGGTGCATATGATGCACAAGTGTGTGTGCACCCCAAATTGTCCAAGTGTATCATGTCCTGCCCCAAAGGGACTGGAGAACAATGGGTGGCTCTATTTCTCCACCCCTGCGCGCTCTCCCCCTTCCCTGTCATCCCATCTATTTTCCCCATTTCCTCCTCTCCCCTAGATTCAGCAGGCTCCCTGTATTCTTTATCCCCTCCAAAACTGTCGCCATCAATGCATCCTGACTCCCTCTTCCTGCCTTCTTCCCTGGCCAAGGCCCTGAAGGGAATGGGACAGATGAAGGCTGTGTGTCTTGAACACCTCCCCTGCCCTCTCTGAGCCAATTTTGCCCCTCTCTCCTCTCACCTCCCAGGGTCCTCTTTTAGGATGGGGCTCCACACCAGCAGGGCACAGTACCACAGACATGCAGGGACACGGAGGGGAGAAAGGACAGAGGTGCCGAGGGTACAATAAGAGGTTAGGTGTAGACCTGGATGTCATTGTGTGGGTTCCAGTCCGAGTCGTAGATGATAACTGTGTCCGCTGTGGCCAGATTGATGCCCAGGCCACCGGCACGTGTTGAGAGCAGGAAGCAGAACTGCTGGGCCCCAGGAGCTGAGAAAGAGGCCAACGGGCAAAGGTGAGTTAGTGGGCACACCTGGGCAGGGGTCAGGTAGACAGCACACAGGAGGGCAGGAATCGGAGTGAAGGTCCCCTGGCAGAGGGAAGGGAAGAGGCTGTGATCCCAGAGCAGCGGCCACATCACCATCGGCTGGGCTCATGCAACCCTGCAGATGCTGGGCTCTGGCCAAGTTGGCAGGAGCCAGAATGAGAAAGAAGCCAGCTTTCAAGGCCCAGATGGGTATCAGCCAAGGAAGGCCAGCCAGTTTGCAGCACGTGGCATTTCCTTCCCACTCTGCCTTCTTCTTGTCCATCTCTAACGCTGCTTAGAGAACTGTTCTATCTGCTGAGTTACCTTAGACCCCACAGACCACAAAATGTGCCTGGCATGATGGTGCACATGTAACCCAGCCGTGGGAGGCTGAGGCAGGAGGATGGTGAGCTAGAGGTGAGCCTGAGCTATAGAGTAAGACCTTAAGAAGATAAGGACAACAGTTGTGGCCTATGCAAAGCAGCTTGGGAAGCACTGTTAACTGGACAGTCAGGCTAAGACCCCCGCAGACACAGGGTCCCTTGAGAGGGGCGGGTACCATTGAATCTGTCGATGGCCTCTTGCCGGAGGCCCCCAGTGATGCCCCCGTCGATCCGCTCATACTTGTAGCCCTCATACTCCAGGAAGTCCTCCAAGAGGTCCAACATCTTAGTCATCTACAAAACACATGGATTCATGAGTGGCTGCTACCAACCCAGGACCCCACCATGGGTAAGAGAACTCCAGAGTAGCAGGACATACCTAAAGCAGGCCTGCTGAAAAGTTGCAGCCCCCAAACTCACCTCTCACCCACCATCTATTCGCAGAGCATGGAGGAGTGGGCCACACACAATTCCAGGCACAAATCTCTGGTTCACTCACACTTCCCCGAAAGAGAGCCACCGTGCCTCCTGCTGGCATCCAACACTCTGCAGGCCCCATGCTTCCTTCTCCCCACAACTGCCACGTCTTTCATGTTATATTCCCAATGTTACCTCCCACAAGGCACTCCCTCCGAGCTCCCAGAGTCCTTTCTGGTCCCCTCCAGTCTTTAAATAGTTCAGCTATATGGAACTACCGGCAGACATCCTCCCGCAAAGCATGGGGATTTGGATACTGCCCTCCACCACCCGCTGATATTGATAAGTCTGAGGGTTAGGTCCCTCCCTTCTCCAAGGTTCTGAGCCTGAGTTGCTTTCCCGAGCTGGTGTCCAGGGCCTGGCCTGTCGGTTTGGACCCTGCTTATTCTTCCATGGCACACTTCAGACCTGAGACTGCAGTTTTTCTCCGGTCTACCAATATGACTTTCACAATTTCTCGGCGCTTCCTCTGCAGTTCCTGGAAGTGCCTCCCCAGACATCCTCCACCCTTTCTCATCTGTCTCTGATCTTCTCTATGATGCATGCTGGGAAATTCCTCAGCCTCGGGTTCCAGTTCTTCAGTGTTCTTTCAATGGGTGAGAGTTTTCACTCAGTCTGACAAAATTTTTCTTTCGATGTCTAAACTCCTTTGCATTTTTAATCATTTTTTTATTTATGTGCACATGTGTTCGCATGTGGGTATGATGTGCACATGCACACAGGTGCCTGCAGAGGCCAGAGAGGACATCTGATACCCTGGAAATGGGCTTCCAGGAAGTGACAAGCTGCCTGCTGTGGGTGCTGGTCCTCTGTAAGAGCGTCAGGCGCTCTTCACCGCTGAGCCGTCCCTCCAGCCCCTCTGTTCTGATCTGCTGTCTCTTACCCTGTCTCTTCCTGCTTACGTCTAATCTCTTTCTTAACTCTCAAATATCCAAAAATGCATACTTTTTTCCCAGGGTATTCTCTCTTCATTTGAGTTCTAATTATTGTTTTATGGGATGGATGCAGATAAGTTCCTGAAGAGTTGGGGGTCTGGGTTTATCAGCTCATATAGATGGAAGGACCACGCCCCTGTCATTTCTCCTCTGGTACATTTCCGTCACCACAGTTTCCACAACTTGGGCTCCTAGGGTCTTCACCCTGACTCATGTTTTGTGGCAGAAATGGTGTCAGCGGAGAAAACGGATGCTGCCCACAGCTACCACCTAGTCCAGCTACAGTCACAGGCCTGGCCTTCCTCCAGGGACTCTGCACCCACTCCCCACCCCAGCTTGCAGCCAGAGGCAGCAGGTACCAGCAATCATTTGCCTTCAACATTTTGTACAGGAGAGCAGAACCCCATACTCACACTGAGAAACAGCCTCGCTCAGTCCCACCCCGGGTGTTTTTAGTCCTAGGACCCTCACCACTGTCCCAGCCTCCAACCCAGACCTGACCATCAATTTGGGCAAATGTCTCAGGTTGTCTTTCCCCCTCCAAACCAGGCATCTGAGGGAAGAGCTTATACGTTCGTTCCTCTCTGTGCCCAGAAACCGGACTGAAACATGATGAGCCGAACAAAGAGCAGAGGAAGAGGGACAAAACCACTGAAGCTGGGTGGCCGTGCATACTCAGAAAGTGATGTCACCAGTGGACCCCCAAGAGAGGTGCTCCTGGAGCTGCCCCCATTGTGGGGTCCTCCCAGACCAACTTCAGGACCCTGCCTTAACGAACCAAGCCACAGGGGTGAAAAGAGGCTGAACGCAAGAGAGGGGCTCACACCAGCCTGGACACACAGGCCAGAAGGACAGGTACAGGGAGAATATGCTGGTCTCTATAGCAACCAGAACCAGTCTCCATGAGCTTGGTACCCAGATGTGTCGTGTAGGGGCTCAGAGGCCTTCAGCCCACAGTCAGGCTGACTCCCCTGTAGACGTGCGCTGGCTCAGGGGTACCTACCTGGGAGAAGATCAGCACTCGATGTCCTTCATCCCGCAGCTTCTTGAGCATCTTCTGCAGCAGCATGAGCTTCCCCGAAGACTTGACCAGGGAGCTGCCGTCGTAGGAGCCATTGGGCAATACGGGGGCCTCCTGTGGGCACAGCACAGCAGAGCCTTGGTGAGCTCTCCCTCACTGTCGTGATGGACAAGTGGCTGGCCATGGGCCACCTGCTCATCTGCGCTACTGCGCACAGAGTACAAATGCAAGGGGCTCAATGGTGCGGGTCTCACAGAGCCTGGCTCCAGACACATGCTTAAGCCTGGCTCAGGTCTGCCAGCCTCACTCCTGGCCTAGTACTGAAAGGAAGCTCAGGGACCTTCCCGCAGAAACACCCTGGAAGGTGTGTCCAACCGGGCCAGCTCTGCCCATCTCTGACCCCAGATGGGCAAGTCGATCTAAAAGCAGATCCCAGAAGATTCCTGAGTCACACCAAGTCACAAGAACCTCCAGGGGCCCGCAGTGAGGTCACCCCAATGCAGCCAGCATGCCCGGCTCTGCAGTAATGGGGAAGACGTGACTACAGAGGATGAGTTAGAACCCAAAGGGCGGTGATGGGGTGGTGACCAGCGATGCCCACTGAGTGCCCAGTCCTCGGGTCTCTGTGAAGGGTCTCCCCTGAACCTGTCCAGGGTCTTTGTGGGATGATGTCACCTCTGCTTCATTTGACAAAGGATAGCCTGAGGCTCCATGAGGAGCATCTACTTTCTGTGATCACAACTCTGGGCTGGATGAATTCCAGAGTCCAGAATCTCACTCACTGCTGCCGCTCAGATTCACCCAGGATAAACTAACTCCCTTGGGGACAGAGTGAAGCTGGGTCAGCCCTTCGAGCTCTCTGGAGGCCCAGTGCTGAGGCTGGGAAGGCTTTGGGGCCACTGGTTAGGAAGAAATGACCTGGGGACCAAGAAGTAGGCAGAGGCAGCTTCCAAAACTGTCCCCCAGCACCATGGGACAGGATAAAGACACATGTCACCTCTGGCATTCATTCTCAGGAAGGAATGGAGGACTGGGGGCCAAAGCACCTAGCCATGGGCACTTCCATACAGACCACAAGAAACCTGCCACAGCAGCCAGGAACCTAAACAATGGCCACAGGGAATACACATGATTCCACACCACATTGTCCACAGGGAACACATCGTGACTACCATAAAGAACCTACCATGGTACTTACAGCCATGGCAGTCACTGGGGCCTGTATGGTAGTCATAGAGAACCCACTGTGGCAGCCACAGGGTCCTACCATGACCATGGGGAACTTTACCATAATAGGCATTTGAGATCTGCCATGATGACCAGAGGTCATCACAGTGGCCACAGGAAACACAACAACCAGTAGAGACCTGTCATGATGGCCACAGAGAACCCACTAGAACACAGGAAACCCAATCAAGCAACAATGGAAACATGTCCTGATGACCGTGAGGAACCCAACACAGTGCCCACTGGGACCCGCTATGATGGCCACAGGGAACCCACCACGGCGGCCACGGGAAACCCACCACGGCGGCCACGGGGAAGAGGTATGGGTGGTTGCAGCACTTCTTCAGGTCCATCATGATGTTGAGCAGAGACACCTGGTTGCCGCCCCCCTTGGAGTTGAGTGCCTCGAAGTTCCGTGTGAGGATGAACTTGTAGTACTTCCTGCAGCAGGGTGTGGGACAAGATTGGCTGGAGGCCCCAGACGCCACCAGACTCCTAGAGGGGCAGGCACCATGTACAGAGTAGCGCAGGAAACCTTCCCACAGGGCACAGGCTACCCAGCAAGCCAATGGGAGACAGTACTAGAACTTGGGCAGTTCACGAAGGAGATGCAGTGAGCAAGGCCTCGGTGGGCAAGCAGCCCTCCTGCCAACCCCAGAAAATGGTCCGGAAAGCCAGATGGGGCCTGCGGGAAGGGGTGGCTGAGGACATAAGACCAGGAAGTGGGCCAGTTGCTGCCGGATGGAGCCGAGCCTCTGTCACTCACTTCTGCATCTGGCTCAGCTCCACACGGACGATCAGCTCTGTCTTGGCCGGCATGTTCTTGAACACATCGGCCTTGAGCCTCCGGAGCATGTGCGGCCCCAGCAGGTCGTGCAGTTTTTTGATCTGGTCTTCTTTGGAGATGTCAGCAAACTCCTCCAGGAAGCCTTCCAGATTGCTGCAACAAAGAGCTAGGATAAGAACCAGCCGAGGGGACCACAGCCCTCTGCAGAGGAATCGGGACCAGGGAGGACAAGCACAGGGCCCCAGCCAGCAGAGGTCAAAGGCTCAGACTGTCTCAGCCTGCATGACACATGTCACAGTCCTCTGCGTATGAGTTCCCAGAGACGACCCAGACTACAGGAAAGGAGACCAAGGCTGACGAATGTCAAGGTCACGTGGTTCAGCATGCCACAGCCTGCCCTTGGATCAACATTCAAAACAGGACCCTCCTTCCTGCGCCCCCCTCTGCAATTCTGAGCAGGCCAACTGGAATTAAACCCAGATGAAGCCTAAGAAGCAGGGCGCCATCTTTGCTCCCACCTCCACCTCTGCCTGCCATCACTGTGCTCACGTGGATCACGTGTGTGTCACTGTGGGTGATAGGAGCCAGGGGTAGGCAGAGGGACACAAGGTAGGAACCAGGAGAAGCCCCAGGGCCTTCTGGGACAGTGCTGAAGGAAGCCCTTGTTTGCTTGGCCGGCTGTAACTTCCCCAGGGAAGGTGAACGCCGAGGCCGTCCCACACAGGGTTAACATAGCATACTGCCCACACTCTCATCTCACTCATGGGGAAACTGAGGTCCCCAAGCAGCTCTCAGAGTCAGCAAAAGGCATCTGCCAGGCCTTCACGGGGATGCAACCCATCACTCCTGGACAGGCCCAGGGACTCACTTGAACCTCTCTGGAGTCAGGAAGTTGAGGAGATGGAATAGCTCTTCCAGGTTGTTCTGAAGGGGCGTCCCTGTCAGCAGCAGCTTGTAGTCAATCTTGTAGCTATTCAAGACCCTAAAGAACTTTGGGGAGAGGGGAGGAGCTGTCAGGAATCACAGGGCAGCAGCCACACAGAGAGGCCTAAGTCCCACGGTCAGTGCCTCCTACCTTGGACTGGTTGTTCTTGAGCCGGTGGGCCTCGTCCACCACAAGGCAGGCCCACTCGATGGAGCCCAGGATGGCTTGGTCGATAGTGATGAGCTCATAGGAGGTGAGCAGCACATGGAACTTGATCTGCACTTCCTTCTGTGGGAGAGACAAGAACGTGAGGGAGGCAGCAGCAGGGACAGAGGAGACCCAAGGACAGTGGAGAAAGTATTAGTGGGAAGCCCACGAGCATCCTGAGGAGTCCTGGCATTTCACGGACAAAGCGCAACGCCCCAGAGAAGGTGTTGTTGCAGAAGATGTTCCACATCCATGCATGTATGCAAACCATCTTGGGTGGAAAATGTTTAAGGATATAATTGCTACCAGGGCACCAGGGCCGGGAAATTGGCTCAGTGGGTAAACATGGAAGACTGCAGTGTGGGTTTTCCACATCAAGCCAGACACAGTAGCATAGGCCTGTCTCAGGCCTGCAACCCTGAGACAGACGGGGAAGATAGGAATCCCAAGTCAGGCCAGCTATCCCGGTGTATACGACAATGAGGCCTTATCTCAAATGGTGTCTGTGGTGTGAGTGCGGGGTATGTAGGCCAGGATGTCCATGTGGACCAGAGGACAACCTTGGGAGTCAGCTCTCTGCTTGCTGAAATCCTCTTTTGTTCCTGCCAGGCTGCGTACACCAGGCCACGTAGCCTGCAACTTTTTTAGGATCGTTTTACTTACTCTTCGAGAATCTCCCACAATACACTTTCATATTCTTTCCCATCTCCCCACTCCTCCCAGATCCTCTCCCGTCACCCTACCCACCCAATGTCATGGTCTTTCATTCTCAAACAAAGATGGAGTCTGGTTGGTTGGCCAGCTACCCCTGAGTGTGAAGCCTGACCCGTGGCTCGTACCTTCAGTGTCCCCGCATTGAACACTGACTGTCCCTCTTCCTGCAGCTAGCTTCCTGGTTAGAGGCAGGGCTTTGTGCCCACTTCCCCTCTGTGCTGATTTGTGTGGCTTGAGCTTATGGTGATCCTGTGTGGTCTCTGTGAGTTAACCTATCTGTCCTGTCGCATCTAGAAAATGCTGTTGTGGGGGCTCCTAGAACCCCCTTTTCCACACAGACTCCTGAGCCCTGAAGGCAAGCCCGGGTAGCTAGCTGTTCTGCCTTTGCCTCTCATTCTGCCCTAAGAGTTCTGGAATCACAGGCACACATTCCCATAGCTGGCTTTTTTAAACATGAGTTCCAAGAAGGAAACACACGCTCAGGCTCACACAGCATGCCCTTTTACCCACAGAGTCATCCAGCGAGCCTGGCTTTTACAAGTGCCAACTGTCACCCCTGTTCCCAAGAGCGTCTGGGTCACAGCGGCCCAGTGACAAGACCCCCTGGGGACTGGAGCACAATGAGGACACCAAGAGGCCGTGCCCACTGTTTACTAACTCTTGGGCCTCTCAAAAGCCCCGCTGGCTGGAGCTGCCGGCTCCATTCCATTGAGCAGGCTATGAGGCACAGCTGTGTGTCACGACCCCCACACAGCTGGGAGCCAGGGTAAACTCCGCCTCTCCATTCACAGCCACCTGAACACTTTTATTCCTTGTCTGGAACAAGACTTGGCAGGTAGGAGTTATTGGCTAAGATACGAGCAGCTCTCAATCCGACATGAGCGGCGTCTTTATGACAGGAACCACACCCAAGGAGAAGGATACCAGGTAACAACAGAGGCGGGGACAGAGAAAAGCAGCCATAAGCCAGGCAGTTCTCAGACGCAATAAGTCGGAAGAGGTGGAAAAGACAGATGCCCCCTGGGGCCTCGGAGGGAGTCTAGCTGACCAGCTGACTTCCAGGTAGTCCAAAGCAGCTCTGCAGAGCCAAGCATCCGTTAATGATGCTCCATAACACAGGACAACTGGGAGATTGCTCCCCCCCCCAGGCTGGGCTCAGTAGCCCCAGAGCAGATGTGTGAGGGTAAAGGCAGCGCTCACCTTCATGCGAAATACTTTCTTCCCACCCCGAATGGCGTTGTCCTCAAAGGAAAACTCGTTCTCCCGGATCACCGAGCGGCTCTCCTTGTCCCCCGTGTAGGTGACCACGTAAAAGTCAGGCGCCCACATCTCAAACTCACGTTCCCAGTTGATGATGGTGGACAGGGGCGCGCTGACCAGGTAAGGCCCCTTGGAGTGGCCCTGCAGAGAGAGCCTGAGGTGGTGAAGCTGGCAGCCAGTAGATGGCGCCAGACCCTGCCTGCCCAGCACCCGCCTGCCCAGACCCACTTGCCCTCCTGCCTGCCCACCTCCTTGTACAGGGAATAGAGAAACACAATGGTCTGCACCGTCTTGCCCAAACCCATCTCGTCAGCCAGGATAGTGTCAGTGCCCTGGGCCCAGGAGAAACGTAACCAGTTGAGGCCCTCCAGCTGGTAAGGGTGCAGCGTGCCTCCAGTGGAGTCGATGTACCACGGCTGTTTGTCAAACTTGACTGTGGGCTGCGGGAGAGGAGGCAAGAATCAGACACATCCTCAACCTTGGGCCACCAGAGTCAACCCTCCAGGCCTTTGCAGGCACAGTTCCTTCTGTCTAAGATGCCTCCCCTCTCTGTGCTTTCTTCACTCTGCGTAGGGTCTGACCTAGAATGTCTCTCCTTCCGAGACACACCCCCTGGCTCCCTGCCCTAACACAAGCCCCTGCATGGCCTCTCACCAGCAAGTCACTTCTGTGCCCCCTTCTGTCCTCTATCTCCATGTTACTTTCCTAATAAGGTCCTCCCAAGGGCCTATGTCCCCATCATGGGCCCTGGTCTTCTTGGTTTTTGGTTGTTGTTGTTACTTCTGGGTTGGTTGGTTGTTTTTTAGATAAGTCTCCTGTAGTCCAAGGTAGGCTCAAACACAACTGTATAGCTGAGGATGACCCTGAACTTCTGATTCTCCTGCCTCCAACTCCTGAGTGTTGAGCTCAAAGGCATGGCCCACCACACTCAGTTCAAGCCACACTAACAACCGAGCCCAAGGGCCTGGATATGCTAGGCAAGCAGTCTACAAACTGAGCTATATCCCAGCCCAAGGTGGCCTTCTTCAAACATGCCCAAGGAGTCCAGCATGGTGGGGTTTGTCTTTAATCCCGGAACCCAAGAGGCAGAATCAGGTGAACCCCCTGAGTTCCACACCAATAGGATCTTCCCACTGACCCACACAGCCTCAGTGTCACTGACAATGGCCAGTCACAAAGGCCTGGGGAAGGGCCCCTGACACACCACCTCCCTGTACCGCCAAGCCCAGGGTGGGGAAGCTGGCAGTCCGGCACTACTGCTTCCTCCGTCTCTCCACTCACATCCACAATGGGCGTCTCTGGGGGCTTCTCCTGCTTATCATCCTTCAGCTTCTTGCCCTTCTTGATCAGCCTCTTGGGGAGCCGGGCATCCTCTCCCAGCATCAGCTCCCTGGGTAGAAGCGTCAGACTCAGAGGAGCAAAACTCAAGCCAAGAGGGGGGGCCCCGCACCTCCCCCCTGGCTGCCAGCACTCAGCACACCTGTGGCCCCAGTAGGCCTGCTTCAGGCTGTCATAGTAGGGGATATCGATGTCATCAATCTCCCAGGTGCACTGGTCGTAGGATAAATCCTTCCACTTGATCAGGTAATGCATGTCCCCCTTCTTGTCAAAGCTGCAGCACAGGAGCCAGAAGATTGGGGGAGGCACATTGCATAGGTTCTAGGCAGGGCCCCCACATAAAATGCCAATCCATTAATATCCATGGTGTCCTAGTGTTCTGGGCCCAACCAGGAGGAAGGCCCCAGGGCAGGAGCCCTAGGGAGTTGCAGTAGCTTGCCCAAGGCCACACAGCTTGTAGAAAGAGAAGAAAATGTGGAGAAAGCGGCAGACGCGTGGAGACGGGGACAATCGGGAAGCAGAACTGGTGTCCTTCCCAGTCTCCACTGAAGGGGTAAGTCCATCCGCTATGTAATCTGAACCCAGGAAATGACGTCACACACAATCTGGACACAGTGAATGACGCCACGAATCTCCCTGCTGCTCAGAGACTTCATTTTCTAAGGTAAAATTTCAAAGCGTTTTGCTTATCGGCCCAGGGTGAGGGTCCTACCCTACAGAGCAGACAAAGAGTCAATATTCCCTGCAGGTAGGGACAGCCTCTCCTAAAGGTCCCCAGGGACATGAGCACCCAGTGACCACACCCCACAGTGGACACTGGAAGACCCCTCAAGGTCTCCTCCTTGATCCGAAGAGGTAGATGCAGCAGCCAGGCCAGGAGAGCCCAGCAAAGCCAGGGGACTGTGGCACCCCTACATGGCAAGGGTGAGGGCAAATGGATTGGGGAGCTATGGCTGCACGTGGCCCGGAGACCAGGAAGAGCAAGGCCAATTCCCGGTCACCATGGAAACCAGTGACTTATTCTCAACAAATAATTGGCTGTTATGCACACCCTGGGAGAGTCACCGGCTCCTCTTTGGGGGTGCAGAGGAAACTGTCCTTTTTGTTTTAGCATGCATTTTAATAAAAAGGGGGGGAGGCAGTCAATCCAAGACACACACAGCTCAGGTACCATCTGGGGTCTGGGAATGGGCAGGAGGTTAATAAGATGCATGTTTTCCTGGTCCCTCCAAACCACTCCAGCAAGGCCCAGCACCATGTCACATAAGGACCAGCTCAGAAGTCCATGGCCACGAAGGTTCTTAACCTCCTCTGCCCTCACGATAACAGGACCTGTGGTCGGGGACAGAGTGGGAAGGCCACCCAGCCCAAGCCAGAAGCCAGAGAGCTGTGGCCAGGCAGGGAGTTCAGAACTCTAAGCTGCCACCATGTGACAGGTACTCAGGGCTCTTCGCAAGGCCCAAGGCCCGCAAGGCCCGTGACCTGTCCTCCAGCCTAAGGCCAGGACTCAGCAGAGGCTCCCCAGTCTACACCCTCCTGCTGGGCCTGGCATCTCTGACTACTAAGCACCTGAGACTGTGTTTTAATGAAAGGTGGCACAGGGGTTAGGGACCCTAGCACAGAAAACACCAGTACTACCAAAGGACACCAGGACCCTGGCACAGAAAACACCAGTACTACCAAAGGACACCAGGTCCAGTTCCCAATCCTGCAGCCTCGGTTGTGTGGCTCTAGGCTGGTGACTCGGCCTTGCCGAAAACATTCTTTTCTTAAGATTTTTTTTTTTTTGAGTTGGACGTGTTGATGCACGCCCTTAATACCAGTGCTCGAGAGGCAGAGGCAGGCCTCTAGGAATTTAAGACTGTCCTGGTCTATGTAGTAAGTTCCAGGACAGTCAAGGTCACATAACAAGACCTTGTCTCCAAAACAAAACAAAAACAATGTTTATTTTATGGACACATATGAACCTATGAATGCCTGCATGTATGTATGTATACCACACGTGTTCCTGGTGCCCACAGAGGTCAGAAGAGGCAGCTGATGACCCAGAACTGGCACCACAAGAAGTAGTGAGCTGCCTTACAGGAGCTGAGAACCTAACCCAGGTTCTCTGCAAGAACAGGTAGTGCGCTCAACCACTGAGCCATCTCTCCAGCGAGAAAGGGGAGGGAGGAAGGGAGAGAGAGAGAGAGAATGTTTTGAGACAGGATCTCTCTATGCAGCCCTGGCTGTCCTGGAACTGGCTGTGTAGACCAGGCTGGTCTTGAACTCACAGAGATCCGACTGCCTCTATATCCCAAGTGCTAGGATTAAAGGTGTGTGCCACCATGCCAGCCCCATGTCAAGTATATTCTCGAATGTGCCTCTCGGAAGAGTAACACAGGCTAATCCTTTTTTGGACCTGCTCGGCTCCCAGACTGTTTCACAGACTGTTGGCCACGTTTCACAGACTGTTGGCCACGTTTCCCTTCATTTGCACACCTCTGGGACTGTCCACAAGAATGTTGAGGGTACGCCTGTGCAAGGCAATGGCCCTCCTGGCTGGGCAGCCATATCACCTGCAGTTCCGTGTCTCTGCCCCTCCCCCCGCCCCACTGCATCCACCCAGGATCTGAAAGGCAAGCCTGGCCCTCACCTATGGTTCAGGATGCGGTGGACCATCATCCACTCGGGCTTGATGCCGTAGCGGTAGAAGCGCTCCTCCATCTTGGCATAGAGAGGGTCCTTGTTCTTCCTCTTCTCGCTCTTACCGTCCTCATCGCCGGAGCCATAATCAAAGGGCGGTGGCTCGTCCATATCGTTTTTTCTTTGGTAGTTGCGGTACATCACGGTGTGGTACAGCTCCAGCTGCTCACAGAGAAGGACAAATTATGAAAGGGAGATGTACAGAGCCGCTCTCCCCGAAACCTGACCCAGCCCGTCAGCCCCCAGCCCTGGCCTAGGTGGAACAGGCTTCTCCTCAGAGCCATCCCCAGCTCCCACCCATGCCTGGGGAGGTGGGCTGCAAAGCACATGCCAGCCCATTCTTGCCCACCAAGCCAAGTATAACCACACCGTCTGGGTGTCTCACCTGTAGCTCCTTCACCCAGGAGCAGTGCCAGTAAGAGAGCCCGGCCCACTTGACAAAGAATTCTCTCTCAGGAATGCCCTCCAGAGGCTTGGGTGGGGGCATGCCTGGCTCCCCCTCTGGTCCTGGCAGTCCCACCATAAAGGGAGCTGGGGGTTCGGTCCACCTCCAGTGTAGGATCCGCTGGACTTTGCCCTTCAGTGGGGGACACTGTGGAGGACAGAGGGTGGCCCCAAAGTTTAGGGTTGGTTACAAGGTCCTACCTGAAGCTCCCAGGACAACTCGAGAGTGAGCTTCCTCAGAATCTGGCTTATTAAACCATGATGGTGGAGCCTACTACGCACACAGGGCAGGAGATAACAAAATCCACTTAGCAAGGGGACAATCAAGCCTCTAGACTCCCCCATCCATGTATCCACAGTTTACCTCCTGCCCTACGTGAAGCCCTAAGAAAGATCACATCATATTCTGACCCGCGAGCAGCCCCAGGAGAGGAACACTGCAGCCCTGGCCTTTTCATCCGCCCTGAGCAGGCCCACATGCACGCCTGTGCATCTGAGCTGGCTGGGGCAAGAAGGCCAACTCTTCCCTCAGCCCACACACACTCAGGCCCTAAGGGCCATGGGATGCCAGTGAGCTGCTGGCTGGCAGAGCAGAGCAATGTAACAGTCACACCTCAGCACCCACGCATACTCTGGGCCACCCTGAGACAGGCTGCTGTGGCCATGACCCTCAAAAGGGTGGTTCTGAGCCCTAGATGTGACCTAAGTACACACCCCATCAGTCTGTTTCCTTGCCTGTAAAAGTGGCCTCTCTTCCCCTGCCGCAAAGGACTGTTGAACATGCAATGCGCACCACACACCCCAGAACCAATCCTACTCTGGCCTCAGGGCAAACAGCAAGGAGAAGGGGCAATACAGAAAGGCAGAGGGAGCTTCTTTGACTCCCTTCCCAGGCCACAGGCCCACCTGACTTTACCTCCTGCAGGGAGGAAGAGCGAGGTGATACCCCAAGGAGAGGCATTCTCAGGACAGCTAAGAAGGCTGCACCTGTCAAAGGGGCCACTCCGTCCCCTACACAGACAAGGACATACATACATACATACATATATAATACAGACACAGCACAAGTCCAGGCGTATGCATGCACAAGACAGAAGGAAACTACATTAGAGCCCAGAACCTATGGGGTAGGGTATTCAGTAATGGGGGGACAGAACAACTCCACACGTGGGACCTTCAGATGCCTACAGAGACTCGAGTCAGGGGATGAGGGGAGAGTGTGCCTCTGTCCCATCATAAACCGAGGCTCCAGGCTGTGGGGTCGCTACTCTGTCACTAACCCAGCCTGGGAACACAAGGTCCAGACTGGCTCAGGGATCTAATTCAAGTTCTGCTGCAGTGTGGTCTTGGGCAAGCCACTGTGCCTCCCTGCGCCTCGTTTTCCAGCTGGAGATGAGCTTGGATGTAGCTCCGTGGTGAGAGCTTGCCTGGCATATAGGCAGGCGCTGGGTTCCATGCCCAAGCAGCCCCAAAATAATTTTTGAAAGTCAATTAAGGGATGGAGTTATAGTTCAGCGTGAGGCCTCTTGGGTTCAGCTCCCAGGAGGAACGCGAGGTTCTTAGCTCATAATAAATTCTCAATAAATAGCCCTAAGGGGATTCAGGAGAGGGCAGGCAGGTGAGGAGGTGGTGAGTGCGGTCCTCGAGAATGCGAGAATACGCTCGTTGGGGGCGTGGCCTGGACCAGCAAGGGCGGGATCAGGGTCTGGTGGGCGGGGCGACTTGGGCGGGGCGGGGCAGGGAGGGGCGGGAGGTGTAACACTCACAGTACAGCGCGGGCAGAGCCATTCACCGTTCGGGATCTCTGGCAGCGGAGGGTTGAGGCAGTGCAGATGGTAAGAGGAGGGACAGGCATCGCAACACAGGAGCTCGCCACCGTCCTTGCACACGCGGCAGAACTCCATGTGATCATCCTCCTCCTCCTCACAGCCGCCCTCCTCCTCTTCCTCATCATCGTCCTTCGGCTCCCATTGGATCCCCTCCTTCTCCTGTAGGTGGTGAGTGCAGGTGGTGAAGCTTGGGCCGGAGCCCTTCCCACAGGCACCAACTCCAGTCCCGGACCTCCGCCACAGCTTACACAGTGCGGGCAGCTCCACTTGCCCTCTGGAGCCTTCTCCAGCTCCGGGTCCAGGCAGACCAGGTGGTACGCCCTCGGGCAAGTGTCACACAGAATGATCTCCCCACCCTGCTGGCACACTTCACAGTAGTCCTGGTGGTCTGTCTCATAGCCGTCACCATCATCTACTGGAAGGGGGAAAGAGGCAACGGTGGAGGCCTGCCGCACACAACCGTTTCCCCTACCCCAGGCCAGACTGGCACCTGATAGGTGCTTAAATGATTTCAAGTGGGTGGTAGACAGACCAAGGGAGTGAAAAATTATTGGGGTTGGCTGTGAAGTATGAAGGTGGACAGAGATGGGTAAAGATAAAGGAAGAAAGGAAGGAAGGGAGAGAGGAACAGAGGAAGGGAGGGAGAGAGGGAAGGAGGGAAGGAAGGAAGGAAGGAAGGAAGTGCACATGGAGAAATAGCAGTGAGGACACATCATTAATCCCCAAACTTGGGAGGCTGAAGCGGGGGCATCCCTATGAGTTCAAGGCCAGCCCTGTCTACATAGCAAGTTCTAGACCAGCTAGAGCTATGTAGTGAGACCGTGTCTTAAAGGCCAAAAAGAGAGAAATGCAGATCAAAACAACTCTGAGATTCCATTTTACATCTGTAAGAATGGCCAAGATCAAAAACCCTGATGACAACTTATGCTGGAGAGAATGTGGGGAAAAGGGAACACTCCTGCATTGCTGCTGTGAGTGCAAACAGGTACAACTGCTTTGGAAATCAGTATGGCAATTTCTCAGAATATTAGGAAACAACCTACCTCAAGACCTAGCAATACCACTTTTGGGTATATACCCAAAGGATGCTCAATCATACCACAAGGACTTGTACTCAACTATGTTCATAGCAGCACTATCCGTAATAGACAGATCCTGGAAACAACCTAGATGCCCTTTGACTAAAGAATGGATAAGAAGATGTGGCACATTTACACAGTGGAATACTACACAATGGAAAAAAATAATGACATCTTGAAATTTGTGGGCAAATGGGTGGATCTAGAAAACATCGTATTGAGTGAGGCAACCCAGACCCAGAAAGACAAATATAATCTGTACTCATAAGTGGCTTTTAGACATAAAGCAAAGAAAAATCAGCCTACAACTCACAATCCCAGAGAACCTAGCCAACAAAGAGGGCCCAAAGAGAGACATACATGGATCTAATCTACATGGGAAGTAGAAAAAGACAAGATGATCTGAGTAAATTGGGAGCGTGGGGACCTTGGGGGAGGGCTGAAGGGAAAGGGAGGGAGGAAGGGAGGGGAGCAGAGAAAAATATATAGCTCAATAAAAACAATTTTAAAAAGGAAAAAATAAAATGTTTTTAAAAAATGAGCCAAAGAGAGGGGGAGAGTGGGGTGTTTAGTTGGGTATTTGGTGGGTCAGGAGCTGAGTGGGTAACAGATGGGGCAAACGGAAACAGTGAGCTTAAGTGCCTCCTCCAGTCCTCACTCTACTAGGGCTTCGTGTTAAGAAGTCCTAGCTTTCTTCTTCCTCCCTAGGACAAGACAGTGAACAAGGGCGACTGAGAGACAACATGGAGACTGCGTGGCTGAGGTTGGGAAAGCCTGGGACATGAGGATGCCCTTACCCCACTCCACACCCCCTACCCCATCGCGGGAAGGACCGTGCCCCTTGGAGAGGAGCCCTACTCCCCACTCCACATCCCCTACCCCATCGCGCCCCCTTGGAGAGGAGCCCTACACCCCACGCTGCACCCCCACCCCATCGCGCCCCTTGGGGAGGAGCCCTACTCCCCCACGCTGCACCCCCACCCCATCGCGCCCCTTGGGGAGGAGCCCTACTCCTCTTCTTCTTGCGCCTCCTCTTATTCTTCTTGCCCAGCGCGGTGGAGCACTCGGAGCGCACGGAAGAGCTATGGATGCTGGCATTGTCCAAATCGGATTCCTCGCGCTCATCTTCCTCGCTCTGCAGGGAAGGAGGATGGGTTGATGGTTTGGGTAGGGCAGGGCCAGGAATCTCTGAAGACACCCTATGGCTCTGCTCTGTCCCCCAACCCGGTTAGTGTACAGCCCACACACCCCACCATCCTCGGAACTCCTGCTCTCCAGTCCTCTGATGCCTCCACAGCTCTTCTCCAAACGGTTTCCCCAGGCTGTGACCTCCGACTGCCTAACTCCTAGGTCACCCTAACAACCCCCTCCTCTAGGGAATCTCCACAGATCTCTCTCAGTGGACAAGTCTGGAGGATTAATGGCGCCTTAGGAGCTGAGCTGGTCTGCTACATCTTAGAGGACCATTGCTCCTTTCTGTGTCACCAATCACGGCCCCAGCCCACCTGGTCAAACAGGCTACCTTCCAGGGCTCCACCCTCTGAGCACACCCTGTAAAGGGGCAGCTGGTCCTCCTGCCTGATGGAGCCACATTGTGTAGCAGCAGCCACAGCTAAGCCAGATGGGCCCTTGGAAGTGTCCAGTCCACAGCAATAAATGTACCAGCAGGTTTGTACGTGCAGGGACTGGAGAAGGGTGCAGGGCTTGCCTCAGTTAGCTCGGGAAATGAATATGGTCCACTCTCTGGTCAAACAGCCCTCCCCTCAACTCTTTGCACGTACAAACCACTCACCAAGGAACCCTTCTCCACACATGCACACACACTCGAACATGCACAGGCGTGGGCACACACATGCAAATACACACATGCACGCACACACACGGAGGAACTTTTCTCTACACATGCACACACACTCGAGCATGCACGCACGTGGGCACACACACACATGCACACATGCATGCACACTCACCGAGGAACCCTTCTTCCTCTTGCTGATTCCTCCAAAGCGGAATTTGAGCCCCGCCACTCGCTTGCCCCTCCCCTTCTTCTTGGAGTCTTTGGCGCCTTTGTTCTTCTTCCTCACTCCAGGCCCTGGGCGTTGTAACAAGGGCTGCAATGAGCAACACTGCCACTGATGGCCCATTTCTCCCCCACCACTTCACGGAGCCTTCAAGACCCCAGTGAGAAATGGGTCATGTGAAGACTGAGGGTCTGAGAGGCCAGGCTCTTGCTTAGGTCAAGCGGGAAGTAATGAGGAGACAAACCTGACCCTAGAGAGTCATCTTGGTACCAAAAGCCAGGTCACCAGACTCCCAAACCATGGGCCAAAGGCACCTCCCACAGCTACCCCCAACATTCCTATCACACGGGCTGCAGGCTGGACTCTATGATGTCAATTAACCACCTAGGGAATAAGGACCCCGCCCCGCCCCAGCAGCCCATCCTGCTGCCAGGGGGAGGCATGGGGTCTGGTGATAGGATTCGCACCCTTGCCAGGTAGCCTTCCCCAGTTCTCCCATGGCTACACCACACACAAGGACATGAAGATGGGGATCCCGCTGCAACCAGGGCATGCCAGGGAAAAGCTAGTTCAACCTTTCGAGCTCTGAACAGGCAGCCCAGGGAATCAACAATTCTGCGGTAGCTCCTAGGCAGGTGGAAGTGGGAAAATAGGAAAGATGGGGGCACACAGAGTTGGGGCAGGTGACCCATGGCACTCGCCCACCAGGCACTCTCTGAGACATAAAACAGAGGTGCCAGGCACCATATTCATAATTGTCCTAGACACCAAAACTCTGTGGGGTCGGCACGTGGGGTCGTTCCCAGACTTCTCTCAGCCCATCAAATCCCAAATCAGAACAGAATACAGAGGGGTTAACGTTCCCGTGGAGAAAGATCAATGTCCCCAACCTCTTAAATGCCAGAACTTCTACCCAGGTTGCAGCCTGGTCTCTCTGAAGCAGAAGGCCCTGCTTGCCCTCCCCTCCCATCCCCTTTGCATGGAGTCAGACTGGACCTGGCCTCCTTGCTGTCCTTCCATCCCTGGTCACACCCAGTCCTGTGAGGTCCCTAGACAGGGACTCGACCCTGTGCAGGAGATGCTCACATGAGAGGATTAGCAGGCTAACCCAAAACTACCTCAAACTTCCTTAAGTCCAGGGCTGGAACTACCCCCCCCCATTCTATGGGGTGGGCTGGAGTAATCTCACACTGTGACCCACCCCTCCCACCCCCATGCCCACAGGGTAAGGGTAGCACCCTTTGGGCAAATGTTAACACCCAAAGATGTACCCAAGCTCCTTGACTTCCCCACCCTTCCCAACAGGAGACAGGATTGAAAGGATTGAAGCCATAAAGAGGGGTCGAGTCAAGTCAGCTTGAGGTCACTGGGTCCTCCATAAGGAGAACCCCTAGCTGAGCTGCGGGATCTAGGAGGGGGCAGATCTGCCAGAGAGAGCTCAGTACCCACTCACCCACAGCCTTACCCTTGCCCTCTTTGGTCTTGGCCTTGCGGATGGGGAGAGGCTGGGGCACCTGCTGGGGACTGATAGCCAATGGAGGAGCAATGGTCACAGTCTCTACAGCTGCGGCCACAGCTGCCGCAGCTGCTGCCGCCGAGCTGCCCTTAAACGGGTTGTTGGCGCTGAATTCTCGCCACTTGGCCCCCAAGACGGTCATCATTTTGGACATAGGGATCTTGGGGTTCTTCTTGGCAATGAGCGGCCTGTGGGAGAGATACAGGAAGGTGAGGGAGAGACCACCTTCTCTCTCACACCTGTGAGGTGTGGCCAGCCCTATATTCCTGGCTAAAGAAACTGAACAGAACAAAGATGAGACCAGAGCACACCCCAACATACTCCTGACTCCTGACAGGGTCTCTATCTGGCTGCAGACCAGAGAGGGGCCTAGACCCCAGGACGGAGCCTGTGAGGGAAGTAGGCTATGCTGAAATGAAGGGGTCCTGACCCCAGGTCAGCGATTGCTCTAATAATTCTCATCCACCAGGAGCCCTGGCTACCTCTCTGTCCACCTCCCCTGGATTTAGTGCCTCAGGCAAGCACAACCCCCATGGTCACCCGGCCACAGCAGTCACCCCCGGCCCACCGAAGGAACTGGCTGAAAGCCTTGTAGTTGGTTAGCGTGTGGTAGTCTTCCTCTGAGAACAGGTAGTCCACATCATCAAGGCCCCACTCCGCCATGAGCTGCCCCGAGGACTTTGGCTCCTGCAGAGAGAGGTGGGATCAGGGGCAAAGGCCTTTTGACCTGCCTGCTGCTCTGAGAAAGGGGAAGATGGGAACCCGCAACTGAAGAACAACTCCCACTTACCACTGGGACACCTGAAAGCCACACCCACCTACCCGCCAACCCCACCAAGGGGGTGTCTCAGATGCCGGCTCACGGGATGCTGTGAGTTTTAACACTGAGACTGGGGAAAGGTCACACGTGTTTCTCCGGATGGGGGAAGCAGGTCAGAGACAAGCCCAGGCTGTTCTGATAGGCTGGGACAGTGACAGCAGTGGACAGTGCCGAAAGAGTCCCACGGTCACTTCCCAGACGTGGTACTAAGTGAAGTGTGTAACAATCCTAAGGGTCCCTGTGAGTCTTCCAAAGGGCTATCCCAAGAGTCGGAAAGCTACAGAACAAGATGGCCTAGTGGGCGGGGATCAGATGAAGAGATGGCAAGACAGGGTCTTTGTGTAACTCTGGCTGTCCTGGAACTTGCTATGTAGACCAGGCTGGCCTCAAACTCATAGAGATCCTCCTGCCTCCACTGGGATTAAGTCATTTGCTACTACACCTAGCTGTTTTTAATTGATTTCTTCCTATGTATATGGCTGTTTCGTCTACACATATGTCTATGCACTACATGCGGACCTGGTGCTGGCAGAGGCAGAAAGGGGCATCAGATCCCCTGACACTAGAGTTACGGTTTTGATCTACCATTTGGGTACTGGGAATTGAACCTGGGTCCTCTAGGAGAGCAGTTAGTGTTCTTAAGCACCGAGCCATGTCTCCAGCCTCGCTATATGAGTCAGTTCTAACCATCACTCTCTCAGATACCAGCAGTGAGAAGTAAACAAATTAGTTCACCCTTAATGGTTTAGTGACTGTTACCACAGAACCCCACTCCCCCATACCGTACCTCTTCCAAGTAATCTTGACTCGTCCCCACCAACCCCAGCATTCACCCACTAAACCAATCAGCACACACCTTTCTCTGCCACAGTTCCTGGCCTTTCTGACCAGCCAGGGGACACAGACCCCCATCCACAGAAGCAGAAAAAGAAGTGTTTCCAGCCTTGGGTGACACCAGTGAATGCCACACAGAACCGTCTGCCCTGACTCCTCAAACTCCCTTGGAAGCTAACTTTCTGGCCCTGCAGTGGAAGGCCACCCAGCTGGTGCAAACACCTTCCCTGGGTCCCCAGAACCTGTGTCCCAGAAATGACCCACAAAGCAAGAGGGCTTAAGAAGCTGGTTCCACAGCAGCTCAGGGATGGTTCCATGGGGGACCTGCCCCCTCAGGCACACCCAGGCCTTCCTGAAGGCACCTCCACGGAGCACAGAAATAAGCAGGATGTTGTCACTGGGACTCCTCGACAGCCCCCAGAGTCAATTTCTCCAAACTGTCCCCAAGGCTGTTACCAGTCACTGCTGATTCACAGCACACCCATCAGTGACTGATGGATCCCACAGGGTGTCAGGACACCTCAAGTACGCTCTGCTCCCTGAAACCCGCCAGTCTTCAATCATTCACAGCAATCTGCCGCGCAACGGCGACATCATAGCTCACAAACCGCTCCTGGTGACATGAGGTCGGCCACCCGCACCTCACAGCCCAGGGGATGGCCTCCGTTCAACCATGATGCCTTGGCTTGCTTTATGACAAAGATGCCCGGGCCCAAAAGACAGCCAGGCCCATCACAGCCACAGCAATGCCGCTCCAAGTTCACTGAGAGGCTGGAGGGACACCCATGTGGACAGAGCGGCAGGGCGCGCCAAGTACCCAGGCAGGGCTGTCCACAGATGCTTGTGGCAAAGACTCCATTTGTTATTTTATCTCCTCAAATGGCTCCAGGCAAGAGGTTCCCGGCAGCAAACCTGAGCTGACGCTATGTATCACTCCCTCCAGAAACAGCTGCATGCACGGGTGGGCAAGCTGCTGCCAAGAGCAGCCCCAATCTGTCAACAAGACACCGTGGCGACCACAGACTCCTAAGTCCTCCCTGCATAGCTGAGACTTCGCGATACAAGCTCCCCATATCCCATGTCCGACATCCACGTGCATGTGGGTGAGGTCCCCAACTTGGGCTCCGGGAGCACCCCTATCCCCGCCTGACCCCAGCTCCCCAACTCGGGCTCCGGGGGCACCCCTATCCCCCGCCTGACCCCAGCTCCCCAACTCGGGCTCTGAGGGCACCTCTGTCCCTCCCGCCTGACCTCAGCTCCCCAACTCAGGCTCCGGGGCCACCCCCATCCCCCGCCTGACCCTAGCCCCACCGATTACCTTCAAGCCTCCGTCGTCATTATCATCCTCGTCCTCGTCCCTCTTTTTCCGCTTGGCTTTCTTCTCCTTCTTCTCCTTCAGTTTCTTCTTCTTCTTCTTGGTGGGGGAGTAGTCGCTGCCTTCGCTCTCCGACTTCTCTTCCAGGTCCTCCTCATTGTCTGACAGCTCATCGTTGCTCCCCTGGAAAAGAAAGGGGAGCGGTGAGGGTGCCAGGCACCCCGGGATGCCAGAGACCTGGGGCAGAAGGCCTGGATAAGCCGCTGGGCCGCCATCTTTCTTCATCCATGGCGCACAGAGGGGCGAGCGTGAGCAGAGGTGACTGACAGAATGGTGAGGTGATCTTGAGCAAAACCAGAATTCCCCAGGCAGGCCAAGTGTGCGGTGCGCCCAGGGCAAGCTGGGCTTCAGCTGTGGTCATAGTGGATTTTGAAAGCGGGATCGCACTCCACGCCAGGAACTCCTGGTCGAGTCCACGATGGCCAGAGGAGAAAGCCAAAGGATATGAGAGAAGCTCCAAGCAGGAGCTGACCTGCCCACTAGCGCCCACCCTCACCCTGCGATCAGGGAGTGAGTGCAGGGGATCAGCTCTCCAGAGGCCGCCACAGTGCGAGCCTGTCTCCAGGATGGCCACCCCATCTCAATGGTAGAAAAGGTAAATTAGGCAGCTCTTGAGATTGATTCCTTGACTTTGTTTTCCATCTGTAGAAGCAGAAAATGACCCATTTATATGGAGATTAGGGTGTTTACAGTCATGGCATGCCCACCAGAAGGATGCTGTCTGTCCCTGGACAGAAACGGTTTGCCTGTGACTGGGAGGCAGAGCCCTGTCCTCTCCTACGTGGGTCTGCGGGGACAGGCTGGCACTGTCACCACAATTACCAGCTCAGGACTTGTGACACCTGTGATGCCTGTGAGGTGCTTTCAAGGTGAGCAAAGACAGGCCTGAGGAGAGATGGGGAGAGCCGGAAATATGGAGAGTGCCCTATGAACTCAGCAACTGGGGACAGGGAAGGAGAAAAAAAGGTGATGATGGGAGACAGGGGCAACAGGGTCTACCTGGAGAATCCTGGGAGCCCAGCACACCCCATCAGTTAGCTGAGGGTGAACTTATTACTGAAGGGGTTTCTGCCTGCAGTCCAGCTCGGAAGACCCCACCCATATGTTCTTCTGGAAGCTCAGCTCAATCTCCCCACTAAGAGCCCTGCTCTCGCGCCTGTCACCTGCTAACCAATGGTCACATCAGTGCACTGCCGAGCCTCCGCACTTTCCCAGAATACCGAGACTCTGGTCTGCAGCCAAGGGACGGCTCCCAGCTCCCACAACTACCAGTGATATGGGACTCGGAAGCCACAGTTCTCAGATTACAGCAGGGGAAAGTGAAGTCAGTTAGGGACATCCCCTCCCCCAGGTGACAGAGGCCAGCCAAGCTCTCTGAGATGATGTCCACGAGATCTGTGAACTCGGGTCCTCACCCCAAAAGGAGTGTAGATGCGTGGCCTGCCTGCGGATCCTTGCTAGCCTGGGACACGTGCAAGTCATTGTAACAACCTGAACCTCCAACTCTCTCGTCTGTGCAGTGAGAAAGGAACCAGGGGCATTGTGCACATGGAGACCCTGACATGGAGGTGCCGTGCTCAGAAACTGGGGTGGCATGAGAACCAGGTGTTCACCATGTGTCCTGGCAGGGGGCTTAGGCCAGAGCTGTCTGCATTCACAACCACAGTTACTCCTGATACAACTGGACTACACCCAAGCAGAGGCATCTCCCGGTGACAACACCCCAAAACGGTGATGACTCTGCTTGGAGGGCAGAGAAATTGCAGAGGTAACATAGGTCCCGCCCCACTTCTACCCACTGGGACAGGACCAGAGTCAGCCACGTGGGTCACGGGCAGCTGAGTGACAGTATGGGTAGACAACACGACTCTGCCTGGCCAGAGTGTGTCCTGGGTAGAAGACACCACCATATCCGGGTTCAGGAGTGACCAGCACAAAGGGAGGCTGGAAGGCGCCTCCAGCAGACCGCAGTGTCTGCCAGAAGCAGCAGCAGCCTGCACTCGGCACGGAGAGGGGGTGGGGCTGACTGGAGCTGAAAGCCTGGTCTGGATAGGAGGATTCAGGCACGCACACTCCAGAGCTGGAGGAAGGCAGGGATTGAGCTGGAGCCCTGGGTGTGGATCTCAGGCTTGGTGTCCCTTTCCTCCGGCCATCCATCAAAGCATAGTCCAAATGTTCACCTCTTATTCCACCCCCCCGGAGAGAAGACCCTGACCGCCAGCCCCTAGCCCGCTGTCCATCTCTCTTTTCCCCTGCCCCGCCTCTTCCATGCCCTCGGATGACAGTGCCGGCAGAACCTGGACCAGCGGTTTATACGCTTCCACTCCTGGGCCTCCTCCTCCCCGTGACACACATCATGAAAACACCCGCCTCACAGAAAAGATGGCGAGGGGGGAACGTTGCAACTGGATGGGAAAAGCATGCACCAAAGGGCTGTGGGCAGGACCTGGGGGTAGCAGTGTCACTGGAGAAGGGGAAAACTGGCCACGAACCAGACCAAGAGGGACCACTCCGTGTCTCGGAACCTACTAGGGTGCACATCTTTAATCCCAACACTTTTGGAAGTAAAGGCAGGAGAATCTGTGAGTATGAGGTCAGCCTGGTTGATGGACCAGATCCCAGGCTATCTAGTAAGGTGAGCCATACCCCATTCAGAAAGGAGACACAGACGGATCACTCTAACAAATCCCACAAGCCAACCTCGGTTCTGAGGTCTAAGAGAAACCAAAGTCCAACAGCAAGCTGTGAGAATGAGAATGACAAGTTGGGCCTCTGACCTTGGCATTGTCCTTTGCAGAAACAAATCCTGGGTGTGACTGTAAGTGTTGCACTAGTGGCTGTGAGAAGAACCTGAGGGCACACGCGCAAAGCACCTCAGATGCCACACCCAGGTTGAGGGCAAAGAGGGGGGGTCTCTGCTCGGAGCCCCTCTGCCTGCTGAAGACACAGCACACCAGCCATGGCTGGTGGGGGCCCCAAACAGTCCGGGCAACACACCCTTTCTCTTCCCCACTCCTCAGTTTCTGAATCCTGGCCTCCTGTCTCCTCCTCCTCTCCCTTCTATGCCCAGCACACACATCACATCTCCTGGAAAAAAAAAAAAAGCATTTGGACTCAAAGGAAGAACTCAGGGAGTTGGTCATTCTCGACTTGGGGTCCTTCAAGACTGAGAGGGAAAAAGAAAGAATGAAATATGAGCCTTCCCATTCACCAGTGTTATAAACAGTTATAATTTAGCACTGAATAATTGGTTGCTATGGCAACCGCTGCAGTACAGGTTGAAATCAGTTCTCCCTCCTGCTCTCCGGTCTGACGGGGAGCTTCATCTACATATGCTCAGGTTCCGGCTGCAGCCCGGTTATTTTATGTAAATCGGGATCCACAGCTTGCTGCTTGCCTGTGTCCCGCCACCCGCCCAAGCCACTGCTTAGAGCCCACCTGCTCAGGCCCCCTCTGCGCCTCAGAGTCACCTGGTGGGGGATGCAGTGTTGGGGTCGGGGAGGAAGGAGATTCCCACACCGTGATCTAGGGCTGCGGGGTGGGTGGGTGAGCAGACACAGCCTCCTCTTTGTAAATAGCACGCTATAGACCGCCATCCCCATCCCCAGTTCCTGCAGCTGGATAGCGTTAAACCGGGGGGCAGGGGAGGTGAAGGGGGAGGGCGCACCCCTGGCCCAAGGGTCACTCTGGTGCCTGCTTCTTGGAGCTTGTCTACCCCAGTGTGCACCCTTTTAAAGAAGACGTATTGCATCACAAGGAGAGGCGGCAGGAGCGAAGGAGGGAATGAAAGAGCAAATGGGAGGGGAGATGAGACGGAGGTGAGATTAATAAGGCAGAGGAAAGAATCACGGGCCAGCGGAAGAGCCTGACGACAGAACCAGAGGACGGCAGGACAGAGACCCCAGCCCTACAGCCCCATGCCCTCCCCACCCCTGGCATCCTTCTTAGCCAGAGCCACATCAACCCTGTGCCCAGGAAGAAGCCAGAAAAAGCCAGTCCTGCTTAGAACAAAAGCTCCCCCACCCAGGAACCCCCAGCCGGCCGGGCATTTTATCCAGAAGTGAATGGTCCCAGCCAATGGCCTGACACTTGGCAAGTCCTCTGCCATGAGGCCCAGATGAGGCCCAGGACCTGAGGTTGAAAACAGCGACAACAGCCTCAAGCAGAAAGTCTGGGGAACTGGGAGCCAGGGCCTCACAGAACCTATCCACTGCCCAGCCATGAACAGGTCTGCAGGACCAAGCAAGTAGGAGGCAGTAGCTGCAGGAGGAGAATTCTGGGGCCCCCTGTGTCAAAGGAGCTGGTTCCCAGCACTCCCTTCAATGGGGAGTCCCCAAGCACAGCGCCCACATCCTGCCTCCACTTTCTCCTCTGGATAATGGGGACAGAGAGCTCTGGTGACACCTTGGAGGAAGCCTTAAAATATAGGTCTGTGGACCAGAACCCTTGACAACCTGCTTCCCTTCCTTCCTGCTGGAGACAGACTTGCCCTGCGGCAGGGTGTGAGGTGTTCTGGGAGGAGACAAACACGTCAATCCCAGACAACATGCCAGACTACAGAGAGCCTTGACGGGCACAGAAGTCAGCTGAGGGGTCAGGGATTCCAGGAGAGCCAAGTGTGGTGCACATAGATGTGCGTGAACACACACGCACTCAACAAGAGAGCTGACTAACACACAAAGACGGGAGAGGTTGGGGTGGGCTAGAAGGGGCGGCTGAGGAGCTCGCCACAGAGGGTTGCCACACATTGCTGAGAGTCCTTAGATTAGGCTGTCCTCACGGTCCTCGACAAGACGCTAAAACAGAGGAGAAAACATACAGGCTGCAGGTTGAGCTTAGGTCCCCTCTGATGCCCTTGGCCTCCTCCATAGTCATCTGTCAGATAGACACTTGCTGGGTCAATGTCCGACATGATCCCCACACAGGGAAAGTGAAGAGGACAGAGTTGATGCTCAAGAGGGCAGTGGCTCTAACCCGCCTCTCACCACCATTTTCTCTCTTTTGGGGCTCTCCTCACTTCTACCCCCAGCCTGCATACTGGAGCCCCAGATAAACCTGCTCAAAGCCTCGCAGTGACTTAGTTTTACGGAGGGACAGGCAAAAGGTCACCCCCTTGAGTGGCCCTCTGAGCACCTCTGCTCCCTCATTTAGAAGGAGAGGTGTATGCTCCACCATCCTGGCAGGTCAGCCTGGAGATGCAGGAGGTGAGAAGACAGAACAGTCTTGTCCTGAATGGGAAAGACACTAAGCTACCGCCTGCCTCAGTTTCCCCACACCATCAGTTCCCAAGCCCGATCTCAGGGATGAAGCAAGTCAGCATAAGGCACATGGAAACATAATGTCAGCAAGCAAGCCACCTCACCTCTTCAGCCTTGAGTCCCAGCAACCTGCACACACAGCCACCAAGAACCAGGAAGCAAAGAACGGGAACATTAATGTCACCGCACACAAGCGCAACCCTTACACACAGCCCATTCCTCGCGGGAGCCTCCTGGTGTTTCTCTGACCTTCTCTGCTCTCAGTAGGATTCACTGAGGAGACAAGAGGCTCCAATAGAACAGCCAGAGAGAGGCCAGACAGCAACGCTGCCAGGGACCAGGCTGAGACCACAGTGCGGGGCAGGGAGTTAGCCAGAGAGAACAACATGGTGCTCTAGCTCAGCACAGGACAGCTGAACCTCCAACCTTCTCAAGAAGCCCTACATGCCATTTCCATCTCAGGGGACTCTTGCACGGCACCTCCGCAGGTGTCCAAGGGGCACACAAGACCCAAGCCCACCCCACCACCCCACACCTCACCTCCTTCCAAGGGGTGCCCAAGGCCCAAGCACAAGGCCCAAGCCCACCCCACCCCACGCCTCACCTCCTTCTTCTTCCGTTTCCCTTTGGACTTGCTCTCTTTCAGCTTCTTGGGCTTCTTCTTGGGAAGGCTCACGGGCTCTGCAGGGAAGAAATCCTCGAAGCCTTCAAGGCCACCATCGTCTTCTTCTGCAGGGGTTGGAAGGGAGAGGGGTCACCTTCAGTTTCAGGCAGAACCAGGGACACAGAAGCAGAGGCAGGCCACGGAACCCCCATAACACCCAGATCCAACAACTCCAGATCACGGCCATGCGGCCACAGTCCTAGGACAAGTGACAACTGTCATGTCCATCCTGGTGGGTAGCACAGGTCACTGCTACTCTCTAGGCTTTCCCTCCCTCCCTCCTCTATAAGAAGGGACAATAATCACCTAGTCCTGAACCCAATAAGCAAAAGTGAGTGTCTAATCTGGTGTCCTTACTGATCTGGGAGAGAAGTGACCTCATGGGACGTCAAAGCCATCGCTAGTTGGCCTAGGGAAGGCTGGGGCCCAATAGAGAGGCCAAGCTGAGTAAGGCCTATCCTTACCTCCAGAGGTTCAAGTACAGCTGAGATGTGACTAACAAATGCAAGACAATAAGGGACCCGGGTTCCAGTAGCCTAAGATTTGATAGGATCCCTCTTAATGAGGGATTCAAGACTACACTGCCTCCCCTGCCCAGTCCTGTGCAGGGAACCAACACACATGACAATCCCAGATACAGAGGGCTAGCAGGATGCTAAGCCCATTCCACATATGCGTTTTCCAGAAAATGCTCACAAATCCCAAATTCCCTTAGTGACATGCTTGAATATGCCCGTGACCCCAGCGCTGGGGAGAGCCTGCTAGCCACACAGCCTAGTCAAACAGAGGAACCTGTGGTCCAGTAAGAAGTCCTGTCTGAGGTAACGAGGCAGAGTGTGATAGAGAAGGCATCGAGGCCTTCCTTTGGCCTCCACGTGTGCACGGACACACATGTGCATGGACCCACGTGTGCACGCACCCACGCCCAACGGCATTTTTTCACACCACAGTCAACTGTCTTTAATTAAAGGCCAAGAGGGAACAGGGTGGGCTTAGGGCTAGGGTCATTAAAAAGGTGGCTATTGGCTCCATGTCACCCCAAAAGGAGAAAGGTAAGTCTGCCTCAGCTCACCCTCAACTAGAAGGGACTTCTGTACTGGGGAGACATGGTGAGCTCAAGCCTGACTCGTACCTACTGGGGAAACCCAGGTTGAGCCAGTGTTCCTATTCACCAGACGTGATCTCAGAGGTGAGGTGTCAAGGGTCATCTCAAGGACATGGCAGCAAGAATCAAACCACCCAGAGTAAAGAAATGGCCACCCAAAGCGGCAAAGGACAGAGAGATGACCACCCAGGGGGCAAAGGACAGAGAGATGACCACCCAGGGGCAAAGGACAGAGAGATGACCACCCAGGGGGCAAAGGAGAGAGAGATGACCACCCAGGGACAAAGAACAGAGAGATGGCCACTCAAGGGCAAAACGAGGCTTCCAGAATTATGCAGCTCCAGGACCATAAGAGCAAGCCTCCTTCACCAGCCCATAACCTGGGTGCCATAGCAGGCCCCTCCTGCCGCCAACTTCATGTTCTATGCGCAATGAGTGGGTAGGGGTGGTCAGAGGAGTAGAGTCTATGCCTCGCATGTGTGCATAGAGAGGTAATGTTGTTCTCAGGTCCCACCAAGTCCTCCTGTCAGCCTTCAGTCACCTGAACCCCAGAGCCCTGTGGAAGACAGGTTCCCGATGGCTCTCTCTGATCCCTGTACATGGTGGCTAATTTCAATCACACATATCCTCCTCTCAGAAGGCAACTCATGGCTCCAGTAGCTAAGAAAATCCCCTTCTGAACCCTGTGTGGTCAGTCTGCATATGTACAACCCTCCTACTGGGGCAAGGTACCCCTCGGCACCAGGACCCCATCCAAGGAACAAGCCCTACCTGCCCACACAGCTCCCCAGAGTCTCCGGAGTAAGGATAGCATGTGCCAAAGTTCCGTCCCCTCCCTAGAGTGGGAATCCGGAAGAGCAGCCGCAAACCCAGAGAGGAGGAGGCAGACTCCCAGGCAGGACTGGAAGCTGGTGTAAGGAGGGAACCTGAGTATAGTCAGGTCATCCCTGGAGGACCACCACAGCAAACACAGAGAGGAGGAGGCAGGTCATCCCTGGAGGACCACCGCAGTACGTGCCAACCTACAGAGAGTGGCACTGCTGAGGCAGGGTCCACGTGAGGGGTACAGCTAACACGGTCTTGGCAGGACTCCAGAGCACAGGGCAGTGGGGCCACTCCTGACTTAAGCTTATGTGGGCCAGGAATCCCAGCTGAGACTAGGTGACGCTGGAAGTAAGCATCCTGCTCCTCTGAGCTCTGATGTGCCCGAGGCGGGGTAAATCTACGGAGAGGCCCTTAGTGTCCTCTTAAAAGTTTTGGCAATGACGCTGAAGATGGCAGGAGGCCAGGTCAGAGTGGCCAGTGGGATGCCCATCCGCACCTGCATATTCTCCCAGGATCACAGACACCCGCACAAGCAGAAGCACCCCCCACCCCCCTGGGAGTGCCCCACACCAGTTATGTAACGGGCTCCAGGCTGATGCAATCTCAAGGGGGCCCTTCTCCCTCCTGCCTCTGCCTAACAGGGAAATCCCCAGACTTAGAAGCCAGCCCAGCACATGTTCCCCAACTGACCAGCAGGAAACGGAGGTCCACAGGTGACTAGGAATGTTCTAGAAGGAAGCTTGTGATCCACTCACGGATACAGAAGAGGGTAAGAAGGAGCCCCCAGGCTAGCTGTAGCTCATCCAGAACATAGACCCTATCTATGTCCACAAACAGCACCCCTCTTCCTCCGCAAGGTAACCTCACAGTCCAAGGCTGCCGGTTAGTTAAAAAGAAAAAAATAAATAAATAAATCTCCCTCCAGGATATTTCCAGAACTGGCACGTGAGGATGAGGACCCAGCTCTGACCACGCCTGTCTCTAGCAGGCACTTCCTGTGCCTACATTGCTTCTGGTAGCCCCGAGGACACCTCAGGCCTGGCCCTCCATGATCCCACCCCATCACCCCACACACCTAGCCCTCACTGGCACTGTGACCCTCTCTTCCCAAATGGGCCCTCGCCCTCTTTGGCGACAGGTCCCGAGCCTTCTAAAATCAAGCTTGGAAGTCGCCATCCAAGTCACCCCACCGGCAGCCACGCCCAAGACTCAGGCTTCTGCCATCACCCCTATTCTTCCTTCCCACGGCCCTATCTGCCCGGGGCAGGTGAGGGGCAGTTCTTATAACAAAGGGCACACGGCCAGTGGGGGAAATAGGATTCCACTACTCTGGAGTGAGGGGACCCAGGGTGGGGGCAGCCAGCCTATAAAACAGTTGCCCTGCCAATTCCCAGCCCAAGGAGGCTGCCCCACTGCCCTGCTGGCCCATCTGGCTGCACCCTCAAACACCAGCCAGCCCTGCCGAGCCCCGGGGCCTGAGGCTCCATCGATCCTAGCCAGCTATAATTAGGACCATTAGCTTGGTAACTCTTACATCTTAAGTGGCCCCAGTCAGAGCAGGCCTGAGAGAGAGCAAGGGGAGCTACTTCCAGGACTTGGGGTGGGGGACAGCAGGAAGAGGGGGGACAGCGTGAGGGTCAGGGCACAGAGTCTGGCAGGGTAAAGGCACAACTTCCAAAGCTTTTTCCGATCTCTGCCAGCCCCTTGTGAGCTGGCCACACGCCCTCTAGCTCAGGCCTGGATTCTCCAGCTGCAGCTGGGTGAGCAGGGTGACCCTTCCCAGCTAGTAAATGACGGCAGTGGCACTGAGCCAGGTGTGGTGGCACAGGCCTCTCATCTCGGCACTCCACAGTCTGAGGCAGGGTGATATCAAAGTCCAAAGACTTCTGGGCTACACGGCAAGGCCTTGCCTGATGAAACAAGAAGACCCTGCAATGGCCCCATTTACAGATATGAGACTCCGAGCACCTCATCACCTGCCCAAACCTCAGTCCCACAGCTGTCAAGAGTACAGCCTGGTGGCGATCTAGGCAACAGGCTCATACCAGTATGGGAGCCCTCCCCTAGCTCCCCCCTTCAGGCCGTGGACCTACTCAGAGCCAGGCATTCCGGCAGTGTGCCTTGTGTGCCAAGCTCAGGACTGTACTCTAGGACCACCAAAGTGGCTAAGGCCAGCTCTGGATCCGGGTTGCCAGAGCCTGAGAGGACAGATCTAGAAACCCACAGCCAGGGTGAAGTCTTGCAGACTCCAGGCCCTGCCTCCTCTGAGGAAGAACAAGCCTCCAGGAGGCTTTTCCAGCCGGAAAAGAAGTTATGTCATCAGACTCAGATAGTAGAAGACTAAGGGGTCAGAGGCAGAAGCCGGGACAAGACCTCCATCGCCAAAGTCTCCAGAAAGCAAATCAGCTAATGAGACACAGCTTAGTCCACCAGCCTCCCCAGAACACGGGGAGTAGGGGCTCCTGTTTCCAGCCCCCCACACCCATCTTCAAGGAGGAAACAGGGCCACCTAGTGGTCAGGAAGGAACAGGCCAGAGAGGCACACTGCTTCAAACCATTACCCCTCCTGACCAGTGGCCCAAAAGTCGGCCCCAATGGCCGTTTCTTCATCTGTGAAATGGGCTTCATGCTGCAGCCTGCCTTCCTCCTGGGCAGTGGGGAAGACGCTGAACTGTGAACACGAGGCCCCAATGCTGGGTGCAGTCCAGCAATGCAAAGAACCCAGGAGGGGTCACGGGGTGAAGGTACTCTGAGGTCAGTACTTGTGGACCATAAAAAGCCTGACTGACGTCCCCACTAATCTCTGAACCTCCCCCCATGGCACAGGCCCTCGGCTGATCCAGAGCAGTGCTACCGTAACCCCAGAGGTGATTAATAATTTATTTATGACATTTGACAAAACCCAGACATCACCTCATTGGCATCTCATAAAAGAAAGAGACGGCGGATCTGAGAGCGAGGGGAGGAGAGGAGGAGCTCTTACCTTAAGTGTCTGGGACCTAGGAGAATGAGGATGGCCCAGGCAAGCAGGAGAAGCCTCCAGTCAGATGCAGGGCATAGGCGTGTGGGAAGAAAGGGGCAAGGAGTCGAAGACATAGAGCAACAACACAGGAGGCATGGGAAGAGACAGGGACGAGAGGGAGGCAGAGATGTTAGGCAGAGCAGATAAAGACTGAGGAGGGAGCCGGGCAATGGTGGTGCACGCCTTTAATCCCAGCACTCGGGAGGCAGAGGCAGGCAGATCTCTGTGAGTTCGAGACCAGCCTGGTCTACAGAGCTAGTTCCAGGACAGGCTCCAAAGCCACAGAGAAACCCTGTCTCGAAAAACCAAAAAAAAAAAAAAGACTGAGGAGGGAACAGAGCAGGAGAAAGAGATGGAGGGAGGGGCGATAAAGAATTACAGAGACGAAATAGTCTCAGAGGTTCCTCTGCAAGAGCCCTTGAAGTCTGGTGAGGTGGTGCACGTCTTTAATCCCAGCACTTGGGAGGCAGAGGCAGAAGGATCTCTGTGAGTTAGAGGGGCCAGGTGGTCTACAAAGTGAATTCTAGAACAGCCAAAAATACATGGTGAGACCTCACCCCCCAAAAGAAGTCCCCCAGAAAGTCAGACAACATGCACTGTTCAGTACTTGGGTCAAAGATAGGTGGATAGAGAGTGTAGGTGGATGGAGAGATGTCAGAAAATCTGAGTGGGGAGATGGATGGAAGCAGGTGGATGGATAATGGACAGGTAGAGTGGACAAATGGATGGTAGATGATTGTGGGTGTATGGATGGAGAGATGGTGGTGGGGTTGATGGACAGATGAAAATGGCTGGATAGTAAAGAATGAATATAGATGGTAGATGGACAGATAAGTGAATGGTGCCAGCTGGCAGATGGATGGATGGATGGATGGATGATGGATGGATGAATGGATGGATGGGTGGATGATGGATGGATGAATGGATGGATGGGTGGATGATGGGTGGATGGATGGGTGGGTGGATGGATGGATAGGTGGGTG